ACGCTGTGAATTGCAACAGCTTCATACTAAACAGCCTTCAAATATTTACACTGTAGATTGCCATTTTTATTGATGGAGGAGAAGGTCTCAAGATGCCAGAGTTTAGGGGGGGAGGGGTAGCAATGGGGAAGTTCCATGTGCAAAGCAGGTATTTAACCACAACACTGCTTTGTCTTCCAGCATCTAATGAAAAATAATACAATTTGGCTGCATAAAACATCATTTATTCCAGATGAGCGGTGAAATCCACTTACCTTTGGTACTGGTTGGGGAATGGGAGCACGTGCACACTATGCGCATGCCTCTTCAGCACATGCGCAGAACCTACTGCGCATGCGCAGATGGTAAAAAAATGGGACACAATGACGTCCCAGTGGGTGGGCGGAACCTCCCGGCGCTACTGGTTCGGTGAGCCGGATAGAACCGGGGGCGGGGGGGAGGATTTCACCGCTGTTCCAGATGAATACAACTGAGCCATAATTAAACAATTCATCTGTATTTCTAGGGCAAAATAGTGTTACTCAAAACCATATTCACTCTCTCAGATCCAAAAGCTTAATTTTTATTTTTTGAAAAAAATGCATCAATTTCTTTGTGAGTCCCCCCACCACCACACACACATACACTTAAAGATGAAGTATACTATCTGTTTGTACTTAGTCTATTCTTTATAGGTTGTATCAAATTTTCATATTGGATTTCTAGTGAGCTGTCTATTGTGAACTATACTGGTACAAAAACTGCACACTGCCAAGGGGTAACATTCATGATCAGGTGGCTATTATAAGTAGAGAAATCTATACTTCTTCAGGCATCTTTAATTCTTATTCTACTGAGATATCTCAGAAATTGTTATACAAATAACAATAGTATCCCACTGGAGTTAACAGGAAATCCCAGACAACTGTTTCCTTATTCCAGATTATCCATTTCTATCTAATTTAGTCATTCACAACACAATGTTTGATATTTAGCATTCCCTGAAAGGAACCACACATTTAGATGTGTGGCAGAGGTAGAAAATTTATGTTACATGCCTTTTCACCAAAGGTGAACAGTAAAGGCTAACAATAAAGAAGGAGTGATACATGAGTAGCATCTGATCCTACATACCTAATTCTCCATCCCTATTATACTTTCTATGAGAAATAATCCAAGTTTTAGAACTATATTATTAGTTTTAAAATAATAAATGAACATAATACTAATAAACTACTAGAATAATACAAGTCAGTGTTTTGTCCAGCAGATTATTATAGGAAAGCAAAAGGTTCATATGGTCAACTCTTCAAAATCAAACTCAGTACATGAATACTTTTGGTCTTTTAGTATTTTTAATGAAATTAAATATAATATTCAGTTGTTTTGCTTTAAAATATTTTCTTCATTTATAAAAGAATTAGATTAATAATCTAATTAATAATTAGATTAATAATTCTCAGAGATTCATTATTCATGATTTATATCCTGCCTTTCCCTCTTGATCTCAAGGCAGCATACAAAATATTCCTTTTTTCAATTTTTCTCCTCACCAATCCTGTGAGGTAGATTGGGCTGAAAAAGGGTGACTGGGCCATAGTGAGCTCCCTTTGTCTGAGGATGGATTTGAATCTAGGTCCTTCTGATCCTATTCCAATATTTTTTATCAATACAGCAAATTAGCTCTGAATAATTATACAGTTCTGAATACACTCTTAGAATAGAAGCAAGCAACTTTGGGATCTGGGACCTGGGATTCACTTGACATTTGTGAGGAAGGACTGTAGTGGGTGGGATGATGATACAAATCCATATGCAGTCACTGTGACTAGTATAGCTAACTTGCCCAATTTCTTTAGAATTACTACATTTCAGGTTATCCATAAAATTACTCCCAGTTACATAGTTCCTATCGGATCATACATAGTATAATATTCTTTAGGAATATTATGAATATTATGAATATTCTTCATTGTCCTTCCTTATAAAACAAGGTTAAAATGAAGTGTTTGAACTTCTTACCTGATAACTGTTTTATGATGTTTTCAGACACATAAGGTAAGATACTATTCACAACATTATTTTTATTAATCTAGCTACACACTGTACTTTGGGTTCCTCAAAACCATTTTTCTTATGTTGGTTCTGAATGGTAACCTGGATACATTTTAAAAAAAATTTGGTATGCTTCAAAACTGCTTCTAATTAGAGCATTTATGTTTTAGAATTATTGCTAATTTTTATCTGTTGTTGATTTTTAAAATCTATTGTCTATTATTTTAGTTGTTATTTATATTTAAGATGGTTAGTAGAGGTCATCTTGAGAAGGGTTTTACTCTAAGAAAACATAAACATTCTAAAAAAAATTCTAGAATAATTGGAAAATTAAGTTTTGTTCTGTGGAGGCTTTAATGCAAATTTTCTTGCCAAACATGACTTCAGTACAGCTTTTCCTGCTCCTAAATGCATTGCTTTAACGTTCCTGTGGATCTCCTGCATAACATTTGTTCACTTTATACAGACACTAAGATATGTCTGTATCTTATAGACACTAAGATATGTCTGTATCTTATAGACACTAAGTTATGTCTGTATCTTATACAGCCACTGTAATTATATGAACATTATCTGTATTAAATCATTAGCATCACACTGAAAATCTTTCTATGGGAATCATATCATCTCAAAGTTCTACATGGAAATTTCTGACCCTGGGTTACAGATGCCTGTGATAAGAGAGGTACAATATCCTAATCCCAAAGCCTCTTTGTGTACTAAAGAAGGTGTAGCATGGGTTGGGCAATATCAATTTGGTATGGTATGTCCACGGTTACCTTCCACCTAGAACTAAAATGGGTGTGTCAGTTACACAAGTAGCTGATAAAGCAATTTCAAGGGACTAGTTGATAGTGCTATTATGTAGAAACTATGCAAATACGGCTTCCTTTTTTCTACACATTTTCATATTAGAGTCTTGTGATTTTTTTAAAAAAAATTAGTGTTGGTTTCATGCTAGAGGCCTCAAGACCACCTATGCGTAAGTGGGAGCTTATACTATATATAGTCATGTGAACAAGTACAGTCACCCCATGTAAAGTTTTGTTTCTATTTAACATATGTGAACATATATGTATTTTAATCTTTATTTAAGCAGCATGTAACTAATTGATCAGAAAGTATGAAAATTGACTTTCAAAGATTTATTCAACAAAAATAATCAGATATTCTATTCTCTGTAGGAAAAAAAAGTACACCCTTGGTTCTAATAAACTGGTTTTGTCCCCTTTGGCAAGGTCAACGTCATGTTGCAAGGTGCTTTCCATTGAGCTTTAACCTTCTAGCACAAAGTTTTACATTATCTTCCAAAACCGTTTGGTACAATGAAAATTTTTAACAGATTCTTTGATAATGAACTGCCAAGACCATGAGGCATCCTCAAACCATTTCCACCATTATGTTGTTAAGACTTTTCTGGTCTTTGGTTTTTGCCAAACGTATCTTCAGAAATTACTGGCTAATAACTCTAATTTTGCCTCACCATTGTTCCAGAAGTCTGGCCTTTGTTTGGATCTATAGCAAACTTTATACTTACCCTGATATTCTTTCTGGACAGTAAATATTTCTTCCTGCTACACACACATACACCCATGTAGATCTAATTTACACCACTTCTTTCCAATGGTAAACTCACACACTTTGACATCAATAGTAAAGGGAGCTAGATCTTGTAGTAAAGGGTGTAGATCTTGTGATGAAATTCTGGAGTTCTTAGACTTCTTTTTGCCTGGGCAAGTTGGCAGTTGTTTGAAATCTTTTCCACTTGTAGTTGGTTTTCTGGACAGTGGAATGATTGGTGACTAATTTTTGGCAATCTTTTTAAACTTCCCAGATTCTGAAGGCTTCAGAGGGCTCTTTTCAATTTAGGCATGGTGATACCACACCCTTCAAAAACAAAGAGCAAATCAAACTAAGTGCCTGAGGTGTCAATAAAACAGGTTCCTCCAGAATCTTCTTTAACCATGTTCTAATCATTTGCCCTGCCCTGATTCTAATTTCAGGTATTTGAGGTAATGATAAATGTAGGGGTATAAATATTTTTCCACATGCAAAATTTGAATTTATGTTTATTTAAATTACACAACAAAGTACAAAAATGTAGTCAATTGAAATTTCACATTTCTAAACAATCTACCTTCCTCAAAGAGGGAATTGAAGGTCAACAACTATTGTTACTTTAGATATTATAATGCTATTATGTTTCTATATGTTTATTCAGTTTTTCACTTTGTTTCTGAGAGATCCAAGGAAACAAGACTTGTCAAACTTACTAATCAGCCTGTTCACCCTATTAAGCAGGACACATGAATATCTTCTATGGCTTCAATCATTGTTCAAGTTCAGTTCTTTTGCTTTAACATAAGTTTAAGCCAGTAATTTAAAGATAATCATTACAACGGATGATTCATGCGTAGTGCTCCGAAGTGATTGTGCTCACACGATCTATACTCTTACTATTGAAATAACAAAACTGGGAAGAGCCAGGAGCTGCAACTCAGTTTTTTCATAAGCCACAAAAGGCTTTCTAATGACATGCTCATGTTACTAGAAGGGACAACCAGATTTTTATGGCCCATCTTTATATTTTGGGGTACTGAAAGTGGAAATCAGAGTAGGAGATATCTAGAATGGAAACTGCTTCTATTCTCACCCTGAGCCAAGCCAAACCTGAAAAAAGTAGCCTGAAATTTCTGTTTTAAGATAATGATGGGTACGTGGGTAAAATTTAACATTGTTTGTTCCTATTTCCATCTTAAAATCCAAAATGTGGAAAAACAACACTTACACTGACCAGTTTCCGAAAAGTGAAAAAGCAGTATAAAACTAAATATCTTTAAATGATATAGATGAACTTCTTAAAATGTGGCCCAATACAGCATGAAATGAACATTAGAAATACCATAAGTTACACACACTGCAGGTCTCTCAATCCATATGCAAAAGAGACTTTTTCAGTGACTTACCTGGTGCAGAAACCAAGATTTGACATCGTGTAAGAATAGCTAGCAAGAAGTCATTGTGAAAATGAACTGCCAAAATAAAAGACATGGTTTGCATTACAATTATGACAATTATTTTAACATATACTTGCATTAACTTCATAAATTTGCACAGAAGATATAATAGCAAGATATAAAAGCAAAAAACATATAATAGCCTTTTCAAGTCCAAAACTAAATACAAGGTTCCTAATTCAGCAACTTAACATTTTCAGCTTTTATCTTCTAAAATTTCTTCAAGGGTAAGTTTTACTATGGTAAATTCTTGTAAGTATTAAGTACTATCAGGCATGATAAATTCTTCAAGGCTAAAATAAATGACCACATTTATTCCACAGTGCACTTTTTAGTAACTAAATAGCATTGAGATGCTATATATTTCAAAGAATTATAATTAATCCCTAGACATTTGAAACTGAAGAATTCAGAAAACTACGTGAGCAATTCAGAGTTTATTTTCATACCATTGTCTTGAGTGAGGAGCCTCCGAGCTTCCAGATCAAACTCTTCTTTGCTGATCTTTTGCTTAAACCATAGTTTCAAATTAGCCCAGTACCTGTGCAAGATATCAATAATGAATTATCAATAATGGATTTATCCTTTTAAAAGTTGTATTTTTCCTCTCTAGTTGCTTTATGAGAGTATCATAGTTTTACAGAATTCTTATAATTGCAAGAAAATATTCAATGAGCAGAATCTCAATCTCAACCAATAGATTTGAGGTTATGTGTGGCTCTTATAGTTCATCCTCTCCTAAGACAGGGATGGGTACCCTTTTGATGGCCAAGAGTGTAGGGAGGGCTAAGGAACAATATGTGTGGGGCACATATTTAACAATAAATATTGTTAAATTAGGTTTAGAGCTATTGGAAATTTTTATAGTGATACATCTATGTTAGGGTCCACACTATACTTTGTATCTGTTTCCCACCTTCAGTTAGCCAGAGAGGACTACAAAATCTTATCCAGAGAAGATGGTATAAAGGTAATTTGTAGAGTGCAATTTGCCCCACCTATCTTAAGTAAACAAAGTACTATCACTCAACTTATTCGAGTTATATTACTTAACAATTATTGGAGTTTACTTCACAAAAAGGCTTTTTTCACTTGGGCAAATTGCAGATTATATTCTTTCTACCCTTGGCAGTAAATCTCTTGTTGCCTATTTTAAACATGAAAAAAGTCAGGTATTAGCTGAGCATGCACAACCTGGAATTTTTCAGAATCTCAGCTCTATATTTCTAGAGCTTATAAAGGTATTCTGTGCATATTCATTGTAAAATGAGAGACAGCAAGCCTGATATTCAGAATGTGGAATATCATATTTGTATTTCTTTTCCCTGTCATTGGCCCTAAAAGCAACAGGTTGCTTTTAACAGTGACTGAACATTAGTTCAGGATAAGAATGACTTTATTGGACAAGACAAACAGGTGAGGCAAATCATAAAGGTTTTCAAGTAACTGTAGAACTAGTAAGAAAAAATAGAAGATGGATGATGTTTTATCATTATAAACCCTCTGCACTCTGTCAAACAGGATTTAAAAAGCAGAGGTGAAAGGGAAAGTTAAAAGGGAGGATATCTAGGAGTGAAATCCAGCAGGTTCTGACAGGTTCTGGAGAACCGGTAGCGGAAATTTTGAGCAGTTCGGAGAATTGGCAAATACCACATCTGGCTGGCCCCAGAGTGGGGTGGGAATAGGGATTTTGCAGTATCCTTCCCCTGGAGTGAGGTGGGAATGGAGATTTTGCAGTATCCTTCCCCCGCCATGCCTCCCAAGCCACACCCACCAAGCCTCACCCACAGAACTGGTAGTAAAAAAATTTGTATTTCACCACTGAGGCCATCCAATGTGAAGACATTCATGGTCTGGGAGTTTTGAAGATCAGAATTCCTCATTCTGTACTAGGGAACTTCTTTTTCCTCTATCTTAATTTTTGCTCCAAACATTAAATTAAACTGTCCTCTAGTGACAGTCCACTTTTTCACTGAAGAGGGTAGTGGTTATGATAATTAAGCCAGTTAAGGTTTGTAATGCAAACCAGCCTTTCAAAAAAATTGTTAAAAGACTACCTAGTTGCCCAGCAAGCATTTCCATGCCTGATGGCAATAACTATCTAATACCGTTTTCTCCTCCTCCTATATAGTTTTCTTCTTTCCCATTTTTTATAAGATAGTTACAGATCAGGAATCCGACAGCAATTTTTCCAACTCTTTTTAATCACTATAGATTAACACAGCTTTACACTTATAAAATTTCAAAATTCTATATTTAAAATAGTAGTTAATTATATTGTGATATATCACTAAAATAGTGAATAGGCATGAAAACAGCAAAATTACACAGTGAAACTGGCAATTAAGTTACCAAGATAAAATACTCTCTACAAAGCAGAGATGGGAAACGACAAATTAGTATCCCAAAAAGAAAGATTTCATCGTGTCTGTGGGCAGTGTACAGCAAATGGTTGCAACATAAGTAGAATTATAATTTAAAATTTATATTCTATGATTCAATCTAAAAATTAATTTACCTTTTTTGCAGTTATATTACAATTTTAATTAGTTTTCAATCAAATTTTATTGCAATATTTTTTTTCCAAAAGTATTATTAAGACAGAGATTGTACATTCTGTACTATATTGTTGTTTCTGAAATGAAGGAGTTTCACTGTTTGTTAATTGGTACTCTTTTACCTATTTCTCTAACTTGTCAAGATTGTTCAAAATTATTCCTTCAAGGATATTCAAATATTTAATCCCATTTTATGTTAATTGCAAATCTAATAAGCATTCCACTCATCTACCACTCCCTCCATCATTAAAAAATGTTGAAGTATATAGAATTTAGGATTGAATGTACAGCATATTAACCGATACCTCAGATCAATTTGATGAGAATGCATGGTGTATGATTTCTGAGCCAGTTATATAGCCATTTTATTGTCATGTTCTGCAGCCTACATTAAACTAGCATGCTCATTTTTTTATTAGATGCAGTGTTAAAACTGAGATAGTTAATTTCAGGGTATACAGCAACTGGGACCACAATTTATGTTGCAAAGCAAGGCAGTCGTACAACATAATGTCATGTGACTGCATCATTTAGCAACAGCAATTCTGGAGTCCCAGTTTCTGTTGTAATCTGAGTACCATTTGAGTCATTAAGCAGGAAGAGGCAGGAGTCACAGGCAAGCAGACCAGCAACTGCATGGGTATGCCATGGACAGGGGCTTTGGAGCATAAGCAGATGCACAGATGCCACAGACGGTTCCATGAGTCCATTACCATGGGTCCACAGCATAAGCAGGTGAAAAAGAAGCAGGAGCAGGGGGTAACTTTTGACTTCCTGCCATTGACTTTGCTTGTGGGAAGCAATGACTGCAGCTCATTGTGATGTAATAATCACAAGTCAAGCACTGAGTATCTGGATTGCAATCATGTGACTGCAGGAATGCTGCGATAAGCACAACTTTGTGGACTGGTCTTAAATCAGGGGTGAAATCCAGCAGGTTCTGACAGGTTCTGGAGAACCAGTAGTGGAAATTTTGAGCAGTTCGGAAAACCAGCAAATACCACCTCTGTCTGGCCCCAGGGTGGGGTGGGAATGGAGATTTTGCAATATCCTTCCTCCTGGAGTGGGGTGGGAATGGGGATTTTGCAGTATCCTTCCCCTGGAATGGGGTGGGAATGGAGATTTTGCAGTATCCTTCCCCCTGGAGTGGGATGAGAATGGGGATTTTGCAGTATCCTTCCTCTGGAGTGGGGTGGGAATGGAGATTTTGCAGTATCCTTCCCCTGCCACGCCCACCAAGCCATGCCCACAGAACCAGTAGTAAAAAAATTAGGATTTCACCACTGTCTTAAATCCCCCACCTTCAGTTGTTGTTACTTTGAATAGTCACTGAACAAGTGGTTATAACTTTAGGACTACCCCTACATTACACACATACTATCCCAACAATCTACCAAGGAAATCACCGGATTAAAATATGAGATAACCTTTTAAAATGTATCTTGATAAATCTATAGTTTTCAAGGAGTTTACATCTCAATTGCTTTATAATCCACTTTAGAATCTTCCCAGGTATCTATGACTACTATGTAGCTTTTGGATCCCTTTCTCCTTTTCTGAAGCTAGGAATTCTATAATTTCTCAAGGTTGACATATAAAAGCCCAGACTTTCTATCCACTTACCCCACACTGGTTTTCCCAAGTGCCCATTTCCCTAATACTGGTTGTGGGCAAATAAGGAGGACGGCTCAGAGTGGTATTCCCATTGTGGCCTTTGATAAATACATAAATATAAATAAAATAAAAAATTAATATATATTATTTCTGTCTCATTTTGTCTCAATTGTACCTGTGGTACAATTTTTACACTATTTTACTGGTGAAAAAAGAATATATTATGTGGGACATCATAAATAAGCAAATTAATTCATTAAGTGAATTAATATCACTAAACAGTGATATATGAAATTAAATCAACATTTTAATTCCTGTACATTATTCCTAGAGTTAGTTTGGTGTAGTGGTTAAGGCACTAGGCAAGAAACTGGGAGGCTGTGAGTTCTAAATTCTACCTTAGTCATAAAGTCAGCTGAGTGACCTTAGGCCAGTCACTCACTCTCAGCCTTGGGAAGGAAGCAATGGCAAAACATTTCTGAAATCTTGCCCAGAAAATCGCAGGGACTAGTCTGGCAGTCTCTAGGAGTTAACACTAACTCAAAGGCACACATACAAAACACAAATCTTTGTTTCTATAGAGTTCCCCAGGTATTTCCAATAGTTAATTTAAATTACATATTAAGAAAACAAATGTTTTAAAAAGTGGAGGATTAATATTGGTCATTACAAATAGCTGGCTTGTTTATTTTTGTATATGCACTAAACCATAGTGGTTTATTTGGCCCTGACCTCTAAAAATCAAGGTGCATTAATTTCTTGCAGGAAACTAGAGACTTGTGGTATTTTAAAAAGACCTGCATATGTCTACTCAGAAATAAGCTGCTCAATTACTTCCAGAGTATATAGAATTGCTGCTTAATAGAATTAGGTAGATATTTCTGTGAATATGGGTGCAGTAATTTTTAGGCAGTGATTCTACATACATTTGATTTAAAATTTTTAAATTAATGTGCACATGACTGTTTATGTCTCCAAGGTGCACAAAATCACCTTTGAGAATTTGTGAAACACTTCTAAGTGGCTACACAAATCCTACTTAAAATTATGATTGTGATGTCTTGAATAACTGAAAGCCTAAAGAGTTGGATTGCTGTTCCTTCATGACTAGTTTCTACCACCTATGATCTCTCATCCTCCCTAATCAACATTTCATGGGTAAGGGGGGGGAGGGATATTTGCACTGCTAAGCAGGGTTGAAATAAGGCCTGCCTATTCGGTTCTGAAGAAAAAGGAATATTATTAAATATTAAATATTATTATGAAAATATTATTCACAAAGGGCAGTGGGTTTTTATACGGAGAGTAGAGGGTTGATTGGGCATCCACTTACGCTCGAGCTTACAAAACACCCGGTGCAGGAGAAAAGCGAGATCGATGCCAACTAGGCCTCTGGTGTAAAACAACGGCCAACGGCTTAACGAAGAAACACCGGGGAGAGGGGGGGGAGAGAACGGCGCCTGATGATCACTTACTGCTTCACATTTTCGCCCAAAGCTTCGCTCAGGTTTTTCTTGGCCACCTCCAGCTCACTCACGTAAGTCGCCATGACAAGTTCTTGGCAGCATACACCCGCCCGCTCTCATTTTACTGCCCGCGAGGCCGCGTCAACCTCAATAGCAATTCTCACCGCTTAATTTGATTCTTTGTTTCGCAACTCCTGGCCGTATGGCAGCGTAACTGGAAAGAGACTTAAGTCTCTCCGATTTCAGAATGACTCTAAAACGAGTTAAAATTAGATCATGTGAATACCTATGCCCCAGATCCTGTTAGATGCTACCTTGAAAAAAAGCACTTCAGTCCGGAAGCCATTCAGCATCTTTACCAATCACAGCCATAAACTTTGCTCACGCGATTTTTTTTAATAGCAGAGAGAATAGCGCAGGCCAGTGGGAATAAATCCAAGGAAGGTGTTGGCGAGTAAGACTTTCTAACAAGCGGCTTCACGTTGCTTCGTCCATCTCAACGCTTGCAATTCATTCAAGATTTCCTTTAAGAAAGGGGGAAGCCGTGCCGTCCCACCTCCCCTTTCTCCAACGTGACACGAAGGTGCTAGTCCCTTTCATGGTTCGTTTATTTGTGGGCCGAAAGGAAGTTTAGTTCAAAACAATTTAAATTAACAGCGATTTCAATTGCAGTCCTAAATACTTGATTCAAGTTCTTTGGTCAGACCTCTGACTGAACACGTACTCGATTAGGCTGCTTTAAAAATTCAATTTCTACTTGCGCCCTCGCCAGTCTTTTAACATTTCCCAGGCTGCCTCATGGGAGATTTTGGCTGGGGTTGAGGCGGCGTCGATTGTTTCTGCAAACAACCCCCCCCCCATTACTTGCTCTTCCGATTGTCTGACCTTTTAGCCTTTCTCCCCAATTATGCCTGCAATTATATGAATATTGCGAAGAAGCCCGTCGTGCAACATAAGATGTCTTGCTTCAGAGAATCGGAAAACCTACATTCAACACCGCCATAAACTTCCCTTCGTCTGCACCTACTGTACTATAAAAGCGGCGTTCTGCTAGCTAGAGTAAGTAACCCCAAGAGCGGAAGGTTTCCGTCCTCTGGGTCCGCCCCTTAAAGCCGCGCCCCCTCGCTAGGCTATGTGGGTCCCGCTGTTCCTTCACTCCTTCCACTTTGCCTTTCGGTTGTTCCGACGTAGCTGAGCCGCCTTCCCGCTCTTGCAGCAAACGTTAGAGGACCATGCCGGGCCTGCTGCTAGGAGACGAGGCGCCTAATTTCCAGGCTGACACCACGCACGGTCCCATCCGCTTCCACGAATTTCTGGGAGACTCGTGAGTACGAGGGGCAACCGCGGCCACTGGGTGAAGGCTGCGCGTAATAGGGTTGCTCTAATCGGTGGTCCTCGCTTGGTAGGGCCGCTTTGCCCTAGAGTGCCATAGACACTTTGCTCCTTTCATTGGTGGGAGAGTCGGCGTAGAGCCGCTACCCCAGGCGGAAAAAGGGAGCTACCAATGTAATCAACGGCGCTAGAGCAATTAAAAGGGCTGCAGCATCTTCGGGGAAACCGTGGATAACTGTCTTGGGTGGAGGATGGGGATATTTCTCCTTGGCTAATTAACTCCAACGAGGGGAAAAGGCAAAGGAAAACTTTGTCTTTCTGTTCCCTCTTCCTTCTGCCAAACAGAATCGTTGTGCCTTTAATAATTATCTTCTGTATGGCTTATAACCTACCGTGAAAGGTAGAATATAAATAGTTCTAACAATGAAAGAACAAATTGTTTATTGAAATATGTACACTGTGAAAGAAGTGGACTTTAATTCTTACTTCCTAAGGCTGGAATACAAAGTCCCATTGAAATTGGTGGACAGAAAGTTCAGAGAGAAAATCATGCATGCAGTGTGGCTTTCAAAAGAGTTAATACATCAACTAGCCTTATATTCTCAGAAACCTTTTGAGTAAGTTACTGAGAATATATGCTCAGAAATTGTTCACATCCTTTTGAATTTTCTAAAACGTTTTGTCTTCAAAAATGAACTGAATGGTGGATCAGATAGTCCTTGGCAAAGTTTTCCTGTGCTGCGTTTTTGGTAAGTGGGCAGTGTTCTTAGCTTGGGATCTTCAGAGTTTCTTAATTTAACCTTTATTCTTCTATCCTTCTAATTAAATGTATTCCGTAGCATGAAGTGTAGCTACTGTACATGCTGTATGCTTAGTCACATTTAGAATGTATTATATAATATCACAATAACTGTTGATACAAAGTAGACAATCTCTGAATTATTGCAGACACATTTGGAATTTTGAGAATGTTGGAGAACCTCTTACATAATGGTTGCTGTAGGGAGGGAATGCCTCTTCATTAAGTAGTTATCATGGTAAATGTGGTCAGTTGCAGAACAGCCATTTATTTATTAGAAAGCAAACTAATAAGATTATTTTCCAGCCACTTCCCAGTCTACAAAGTGTTCTCTTAATTTTTTTTTTTTCTTGAGTGAATTGATAGATTTCCAGGAAAGCACTGGTCAAACACCTGTCTTATTTTTATTTTCTACAAAACTCTCAGAACCCTATTCTTGTAAATAAAGATGATGCTAGAAGGAGAGACTTTGTCAGCGTCCCTCTTTTTAACTTAGTTTTTTTTTAAAAAAAAAAAATCCCATGGGACAAGGAAGAATTGTGGTACTCCTGTTGTGGTTAGAGATGGGCAGCTTTTCTTTGGAATCTCGGGAAAATACTAAGAATACTTTAATTACATTGGGGAATCATACTAGGTATGTTGATTTTGTACGTCCCAATTAGATCTAAATTGGTTTCTTTTACTGTAATGATCTTAATGTATTAAGTTTTGGATCATAATCTATTTCATTAGATGCAAACATTATCCACTTGATAAGGTAATGTTACATATACATTAGGCTTGTGCAGTGCTTCAGATTCAATTTCAAAAGTAGGAAGGGAGAACATAACAATTACTATAACTTTTTAAAAGTAGACTATCGTTTCTTTGGATTTATCCATGCATCCCAGGAAAAGATGTAGATGCTTTAAAAAATGAAGGCCCTTTAGTTTCATACCCTTCTGTGAAAACACCTGTGCTATTGTCCTTCAAACTAACCCAAAAAAATCTAGTTAGCAAAAATGCTGCCAATTTGCTCCTCACTTTCTAGTCAAGGTAATGAATGATATAAATTTACAATATAATCTGATGATCATTTGGGATTTATTTAAAAAATCACAATAATCTGTGGCAAACTTTTGTTATAGCGTGCACACTGCCCTATCAAGACTTGTAATCAGCATTTTTTTTTATTTTCCTGGCCCAGAAACCTGATTATAATTTCTGATGTATGGATTATTTCAAAGCTGCTAAGCATGGTTTGAGCAAAACAGGAAACAGCAGTTGATGACTTCTAATTTGATTGCTTTTAGAGGATAGATTGGAGGCTTAAAAGAAATGCTGGTACATGTCTGGTAATGAGCAAAATTCAAATTGATCAGTTTCCCTATATTAAAGGCATACCACAATGAATTCGTTGAAATGACTCAATTTGGTCCAATAGCAAGCCTGTAAGGATTTTAGGAGCTGGAATTGTCTTTTTCATTTGAGCAGCAGTGTTACAATAGTGTTAGAATATTCTAACTTAGTATATTCTTTTGTTTAATGAAAATTGTAGTCATTTTCAAGGTTATATTAATCGTTAGGCTAAGAAATATATAATGATAGCTTTTGGAATAGATAGTTTTATAACTAGATTTATAAAAACAATATATTTATGCTTCTCCAATATATTAAGGTGATTGTTCTGGAAATACATAAAATACAAACATTTGTTCATCATAGTGGGAATGCAAAATTCTGCTTTCTTTAAATCAGTGATATAATCACTTGGGTTAACTTTAAATTGCAACTCTGAGACAAGTCATTTCATTCTCGGAAGTACAGACAAAAGAGCAAAGGGTAGATTCCTGCTGCTCAATAAGTTTTGTTTTCCCTGTAGCAGCTGCTTGACTAGAGTCCAATTTGGCAACTTACAGAGTACTAGGCATTCAGCACCCAGACTTCTTAGCCAATGTGAGAAGGATATGGTGGATGAGAGTTTCAGAAGTTTGATATATATGGAAGATGCCAAATTGGAAAAAACTAGAATATAAAATGAATCTTTGCAATAGGTCAAGACTACAGGATAGAATATATTAAATTCAGGTATACTGAAGGATGAATGTGGATATTCACCTGCTAAGCTAATTCACAGGGAAATCCATGTTGTGCAGAAAAGAGCAACAAAGACTATTGGGGAACAAATCTAGAGGCCAAAACATATGAACAATTGTAGGAATTGGATATGTCTAGTTTAATGAAAAGAAAGATTAGTGGTGACATGATAGGAGTGTTCCAATATCTAAGGGGCTGCCACAAAGAAAACTGGGTCAACCTATTCTCCAAAGCACCTGAAGGCAGAACAAGAAGCAATGGATGGAAACTTATCAAGGAGAGAAGCAATTTAGAACTAAGCATAAATTTCCTGATAGTGAGAACAATTAATCAGTGGAGCAACTTGCCTCCAGAAATTGTGGGTGCTCCAACACAGGAGGTTTTAAAGAAAAGATTGGACAACCATTTGTCTGAAATGGTATAAGGTTTCCCGCTTGAGCATGGGGTTGGACTAGAAGCAGTAGTGGGTTGCCCCCGGTTTGGACCGGTTCGCAAGAACCAGTAGTAAAATGGGTGGGAGGCCACACCCACTGCCCCAGATGTCATTATTGGCGATCTATGCATGTCCAGAAGCTTCTGCGCATGCGCAGAAGGCACGCAATCCCGCTGCGAACCAATAGTAAAGGTGTAAGTAGAACCCACCCCTGACTAGAAGACCTCCAAAGTCCCTTCTAACTCTGTTATTCTGTTACGATTACAAGAAGATAAAAAAGACTTCCTATATTGGCTGACATAAATTCTGTATGTGAATGTAATTTACATCTTCATCTGACTTTTGTATGTCTGATGGTAGTATTAAAACAACTGTCAGCAGTTGCTTTACAATGTTATAGTATGCATGCAGAAACCAACAGTGATCTATTCTTCTTGTTGTGCCATATCCATCATCGGATATTGGCAATACTATTTTTATCAACAGCCGCACGAAAAAGTGCTGTTGACTTTTGTCCAAACCAGTCCCTTAGATTTTGAAGCCATTTTCTGCCTGGACCTCATTTGCCTTCAATCTTTCCTTGGAGGATTAAGTGAAATATGCCATATTTTTCTGGGTGTTGTATCACATGTCCAAAATTTTCTAGCTTTTGCTTTTTTTATGGTTTTGATGATTTCCCTTGCTTTTCCCAGGCAGCTTTCCCAGGGATCTATTAAGGGTTTCCAAATTTGTCCTAACATTGCTACTTTTCTGCTTGAGCATCCAAATTACAGTAGTACTATCTACAACATTTATAGTATTACACAGCAGATTTTGTCACTCACACAGCCATAGATATTTGTAACAATCCAAAGTAATCTCAAAATGATGACAAATGTACAGAATAGAAATTATATTACCATTGCCTTTTTAATAGTTACTCTTTAATTTAACAAATTCTTGATAATATGAATGACCTCTGTGTAACTTTAAATTGAGTTTATGCATCTGAATAAGCCATAATCAGGTTTTCTTCATTTGAATTACTATTTGCTAAACCATTTGCTAACTCATATAATTTTATAAATCATATTTTTCACTTGAGGTTGGTTCACACATCAGAGTAAACCAAAAATTACCAAGACAGAAATTGTAGACATAAATTAAGCATTAAGACTTCTTAAACTTGAAATATTTTTTTCTCATATGGATGATATAACAATGTGTAGAATTTTCAACATTTTGTATCAAATGACCCCACAGCTCCTAGAAGAAAAGATTACTTCATGAACATTTTTTATTCCATTATGCTTAATTTCTAAAAAGTAACAAAAAGGGAAGTTAGTTTGCAACTGTAGCATATATGTAACTATGCAATCTCCACTTTTATTGAAACTGACTGCTCTATTCAAATTTGACTTAACCATTGCTCATACATTGTCAAACAAAAGCTGGATCTTGCACAAAGGATTTTGGATATATTATTCTACTGTGAAAAATGTCTGGGTATGTTGTACATGTGTATTTCCACCAAGGGACTTGAAATGCAAGCAGACCAGTTTGGAGAAGTGGGAGGTAGCATTAGCTATTAATGGAGCAACAGTATGAAGGTTTGCCAAGGTTATAATCTCTTTGGCACTGGGCAGTGCTTCAATTGAGAAGGTATTCGTGACTGAGAACTAAATGAAATGTTGCGTGTTACATAATGGGGCTAGTAAAACATAAGTGGGAAGAACAAAGATAACTCTGTTGGTACATGAGGGGAAAAATATGCTAAAATTATTAAAGTAGCATAACAAGCTTTCTAGCTCTCCAGAATTCTAGTGTGGGATGGCCTAGACTTTTCCAACCAGGTGTCCTCTAGATAAATTTGATTTTAGATCCCATAATCTCTAGCAAAGGATTGGGCTTTGTTCAGGATATGGGATTTAAACCCCTTCTTATCTGGTACATTGTATTGGAAACGGCTGAGCTATAGAGCTCAAAAATCAAAAAAAGGGAAAAAGTAAAATTAAGGAGAAGAATCAATGAACTATTCCAAGCTATAAACTTTCTAGATGCTATTCAGTGTCAAGTCCTCTCAGCCAGCCAGTTCACAGTTGAAAACAAACTTTGAAATAACGTTTTATATCTGGTCTGACTTACTAGGCTTCAATGCTATCTGCCATGTGATTCTTTTTCTTTCAGATGGGGCATCCTCTTCTCTCATCCAAGGGACTTTACTCCAGTGTGTACTACAGAACTTGGTCGAGCAGCAAAATTAGCACCAGAATTTGCCAAGCGAAATGTTAAATTAATAGCCCTCTCTATTGATGATGTCAGTGACCATCTCGCCTGGTGCAAGGTATTGTGGGGAAAAAAACCAATGACAGAAAGAGGCAGGATAAGAATTGGAATGTTATTTTCAATAAGACATGGAAAACATTTTGATAGTCTGCATTTAATGTTTTAAGGGATTGCTGAAATAGGCAGGATTAATCATGTATGTAAGCTGGACAGTGATTTTCAGATTTTGTTTTTAAAAGAAAAGGCCATTTTAGAGTACTGTTTCCTGTCTCAATGTGGTAAGAATATACAATAGTAAGTTTGACAGCCTCATGCCAAGTTGTGACAGTGCATTTAGAGAAGGCTTTTAAGGGTACAGAAAAAGAGGTTGAAGACCACAGATTGATAATCCTTACATTTGGCCTTGAGTCTCTGCTGATACTCTTCTATAGTTCTATTATGAAGACACTGAAAACCTCAACATTAGTTTTACATTCATCATAATCTTTACAAATAAAAAATTAACTGTGAGTAAATTGTGGATAATTGAATAAGCTAATTTCAGAAATCATGGTTTCAAGATTATTTAATATATATGCTGCAATAGGAAGCCTAATGAATGCCAGAGAATTATCTGTAGACAGACCAATATTCATAGGTATCCCTAGAGAATTATTTCACTGTTCTGTCCCATGTACAAATGAAAAAAATAAAAGAGCAAAACTGTTGCTAAGATTTCAGGCCTCAAATCTCAGGATTATATTTCCTTTAAATATAATGGACTAAAATTCCTATCATCATAATTGTATCATAGTTCAGGTGTGAACATATTACAGGGCTGGCTTAACAGGTTAAGCATGCTTATCAATATCAATAAAACGGTTTTTTAAAGAAAATGTAAGAAGAGAAAATCAAAATCAAAACAAAAACAGTTAAGACAGTAATTTGTATGTATCAATAAATATATTTTGTTTTTTTAATAAAAAGTATTAAGACTGTTTTGATAGTTATTCTCTTTATAGAATAGTGGGTTTAATTTTACGTTGATATATTCACATCTGGTATGAGTTTTCACAACTGGAACAACAACAAATCTCGGTTATCCTAATTTTGAAGCAGGTGTTCAGGAACTAGGTAACAGGAGGAGTTTGCAGGCACCTATGCTTGATGAGTTGATTTCCTGCAGACAAGATAAAAGCCATTAAAAATAGAGATTGAGCACTACAGAAAAGTTGATATTAGGGTTTAAATTCCAGGGCTTTTGAGTGAACAAAAATTTGATCATTCTCTTCTCACTTTAAAGATTGGGAGACACCTAGTTAGTATTTATATAACAGGGTTGTGTCCAACCTGAAAATGTGGCTTCCTGCCTCACCATTTGCAGCACTCGGTCATACTGATTTCTATTTTGCAGGCTGTAATGTAGCCTTATAAGAAATGTGTCAAAATAAATGAACTTCATGAGGAATTTATAATTATCCTTTCCCATGCGCTAATGCATGACAGATTTTAAAAAAGTTCGCTTGGATATGACTATACCAGCAAATGGGGAAAAAATGCATAGCAAAACTGTCACATGTGCTATTTAAACATGGTGCTAAATCATTTGTAGTACAACCATGATAGGACAGTTTGTTGCATTGAAAACACCTAGAAAGGACAGCCTCTTTAGAACATAATCACATAGCTTACTTGTCATGAAGTTGTATTTTTGTCAGTGTTAGTATCTGCTAAACATTTCATGCAAAGATACACTTTTTAATACCTTCAAAACTCTTTAAGCTTGAAGCGCAGATAAAATTCAACCTACGAATGCATTTTGTTATGCATATTTAATTACTCCATTATTCCTTAGTTATTTATAACAAGTTATATAATCTTGTACATACCGTTAACTTTCTTTAAAAATGGAAATAAGTGCTTCTACAGAAACAGTAACTAATTTCGTATATACAAAATAATAAATAACTAAAGAGCAGCAGTGTAAAACAGATCTATTGAAAGTATTTAGTAACATTAAATGACACTACCGTTATGTTGCTGCTTACAGATTTTTTAAAAACTTATTCAGCTATTTTTCCAGATAGCTGAAATGCAATTCCTTTTCTAGAGAGCACAAGTAAACATTGCCTATGCACTGCTTGAAACAGTGTATGAAACCTACTAAAATAAAAAGTCCACTCTGATTTCTAAAAAAGGAAAATAAAAATTGCTTGTCTTTTTTTAATACATAATGGGTAAATGAGTAGGTTGACTGTTCAAAGGAATCTCAAGATGTTCCCTGCGTTGGATGAAATCACTTAATTATTTGTATATAGGATTTTTTAAAAGAGATGCTAAAATTTAGAAAGAAATTGTTTTATATCCACAAAATACTTGTATGACTTTATAAAGCTCTAGCTGCAGATCAATAAATTATACATGTAAATTAATTGGACTTTCAGTTAAAATCTTATGCAAAAAAAGCATTCAAAAAGTTGATGTTATTTAATTAAAATGACATCTTAAAGTTTATAAAGTTTAGACAAATTATTAAATGAGAAAAAGCAAAAATGTTCAGTAGCATCATCCATAACTGGATGCTTCTTTTGCTTGTTTCCTTTCCAAAAACACATAAAAGTATACTTATTTTGTAATATCTGCTACTGCCTACTCTACCTTTTGTAGGTACTCTACCTACTCTATCTTTTATATGAATTACTTTGTGCACATCCTCTTAGTACATTTAGAAGGCAAAATAATATATGATCCTTCATATTGTGCTCCAGCCATTGAATTCAACCTTGCACTGTAGAAAATGGGACATTTGAGAAGAATTCATGGAAGCATGTAAAGTAACTTCTTAGATTGAGTTTGGTTCCTGCTGATTATAGGGAGCCCATATACTAGTATTCCTTGACTTGAAACCAGTCATTTAACCACTTTTCAAAGCTTCAATTGACTTCCTAAAAGATATTTATGACCCAGTTTTGATGGCCAGACCCTCCCCATATGCTCACATGACCATATTTCGGACACTTGGCAGTCAGCCCACATTCATGGCCATTTCCTCATGGTCATGTAACCACAATTTACAACTTTGCTGAAAACCTGTGTTTGCTTCCAGTTTTCAGCAAAATGCGCCATAGAGAACAATTGTTTCACCTAACGACCATGACATATGCTTAACAACTGTAGATTCACTTAACCATTGTGATTTGTTTAATGACCATTGCAAAAAATGGTCATAAAATTGGGTCAGTTAGGTGATTACCCACTTTATGGTCATTACAAGGTCTGATTGTAATGAGCAGCCTCTGTTAAAATTGTAAGTTGAGGACTACCTATAATAGTACAGAAATTGTTTGACATTACCTTCTTCCAGGAAGTATTTTTTATTTCCCAGTCTAGTCTATCCAGGGATTTCCTGATTGTCTCATCTATTTTTTTTTAATTTGGCCAGATGTGCTCTATAACCTACATATAGATCAAAATTTCACTTACCAAAAATCATTCAGGTTTTTTTGCTGACAACAGAGTCTTGTCCACCTGTATTAATCATAAAATATATCTAGATTAATTATAAAATTTGCCAGTGTTGTCTCCAGACTGATGGAAAATAGCTCTAACTTATTTTTGTCTCTGGTTCTTAATCTTCTTTCTGCTGGCAGTATGTCACCACTACTTAGTTGCCTAACTAGAATTGTGGCCCTAGGGCCCCACATTTTCCACTTCTCTGCTTTACACCATGTGCAAGAAACTAGGCATGCCATTTCAGTACGGAAGCTAATGGTTGACTTCTAGTATGAGCAAGTCACTTCTCTGGTGAGCCAGTACTTCACAGAAGAAATTGGTAGTCTCAAATGGATGTACAGATGCAAATCTTAGTTTCCCCATTTTGAGTATGACTTTTCACGTTTTTTCCATTAGCACCAATATAATGTCTCAAATAGTAGGTTGCTTCTTTGCAGCATTTTGCTTTTTTAAAAATTAAGCTGTTTTTATTTATTTGGGTACTCTGGCTTAAACAGTTTTGAGTGTTTTGATCATTTTTATAAATCATAATGGAAGGCTTCTAAAAACAAAGTTTTTATAACTAAATGAAACAGCACTCCATTTTTGTTCAGAGTTGACTTTGTACTAATTGTAATTGAACAAATTTGTAATACAACATTAAATTTTCCCCTTTTGCAGGACATCAATGCCTACAACAATGACAAGGCTATTGACAAACTCCCTTTTCCAATAATTGCTGATTTAAAACGGGAACTTTCAGTCCAACTTGGCATGCTGGATCCAGATGAGATAGGCAAAGATGGAATGCCTTTGACTGCTCGTGTGGTAAATATCTATGCATTGCCCCTTTAACATTGATTTTTTGCAGGCTGCAGCTTTCTCAGTTACTTATGTACTGTTTATTGCCTTATTTCTATTTAATCTGTTATTTAACCAGATGAGAAGCCTATGGTCCATCAGGTCTCCCAATGTGGCCAATAAGCATGTCTGCAAGAAATAAAATTGCTGACATATCTAATCAGAATGGAATGGGTTATGAAATAATAAAACTAGACTAACGTAATATTGTTTAGAAATTCAATTCTATAAAATAGATTCCAGGAACTGAGAAGAAGAATAAGTCATAGTTGCCGGCCTCCATTTATGTCTAACTCAAAATGAAATATGTTGGCAGGTAGATTCTCCTCTAATCTTTCAATTGTTATGATATTAAAATAATCTTCCTTTTTGTGCTTTGTTTTTAGAGTGTGTGTGTGTGTGTGTGTGTGTATATAAAGTATTAATAAAATAAAAATTAGGATAGATTGCACTGTCTTTTGAGTTCTGCACTCAAAATCTGAGTAGGACGTTATGAAATAAAGAGTTTACACAGCAACCATTTCAAAAGAATAGTTGTGCAAGAAAGTTCCTGTCTATGTCTCAAATTTCTTTTTTACATTAACAGTTGTAATCTTATATAAATATTTCCCATTTTAATGATAAAACCTATCACAATTGTGCCAGGTTTAGGATTACAAATACTGGATAAATAATTTTGGATAAGAACTTAGCCTCTCAAAGGATATGTGGGAAATTCCTATCCAAGAATTACATTTTATTAAATACATTGCCCCCCAATGCATTTGCTATTTCTCATAGGAAAAATGTAACACTAAATAGTTGAATTATATAATTCCACAAAAGATTGGCAAGAAATTGATGATTTATGGAACAGTAATGTATATGCAATAATTTGTTTTATTTACAATTCTGTAACTTTGTCCTATAGGTATTTATTTTTGGCCCAGATAAGAAACTGAAACTCTCTATCCTCTACCCAGCAACCACTGGAAGAAACTTTGATGAGATTCTAAGAGTTGTTGATTCCTTGCAATTAACAGCTGTTAAGAAAGTTGCTACACCTGTTGACTGGAAGGTAGATGTTTACTTATATAAATCCATTTAATCTAAAGTTTTATTCAGATACAGTGAAAGTTGTTGAAGAAACAGATTTTTCTATATGTTGTTAAATACAACAATATTCAAATAGATTGGATAATGACCTTCATGAAGTTATCAGAGAAAGATCTCCTGAGAGTACAATTTAGTGTTGGGAGATTACAATTACCATTGTCCTAAATGGAAGGGTTCCTGGTCCTGATGATATTTTTAAAAAATCATAGATATATTTATGACAGCCCTATAATCAATTGTTTGGGCTCTCCAGCCATAATCTCTTATAAACTGTCTTCAATTTCTTACAAGTGTACTCCAGTTTAGGCTTGTAAGCCTTTTTATTTTTTTATCAGTATTTCCATTAATATTTTTTGTGTGCATTAAAATTCATTTGGGGTAGTTTTATTAGAGTAACCTGAATTTGCCAGCTGAAATATGGATTTCCTAATGCAGGTTCTATAATGCCCATAAGTTTATCAGCTGAAAATGCCTTTTTTAAAAAGCAGGGGAAGGAAAAAATGATCAAGAAACCTTGTGAAATCTTGATAAATTTTATTTCTGTTTGGAAAATTCCATGACAAGTGTTTTGAATATCTGTGGAAGAATATTCCAGTTTGGCAATATGTTTTATTGCGGGGTGGGGGTAATGTTCTATATTTTGTCTGTTTCTGTGTACATACAGAGCACCTAGTTTGTAAATTATTTTAAATATCAAGGTAATCTGAGACAAAATCAGTAGCCTTTATTTAGCTATAGATTGTTTTTGTAGGAGTTTGTGACAAGAGCTCTTTGGCAGATACTTTTTATCTTTGCATTTCCAGGACAGATATTTTTAACAAAATGCTTGAAGTGTTTCTCTTGTTTTGGATTGAGGTGATATAAAGAGGTACACACCTAAATCCTAGTCTTAGACTTATGCATTATAACTATTTTGTTAACTATATGAAACATATTAGATATTTCAGTTGTAGAAATGTGCATCATAATTTGAAATGTAGAATATATGCAGTAACATATACAATCCAGCTTCAATAAGGTATATGTCTAGGAAGATGATAGTATGTGTTTCATGTATGTAGTCTGATTCATTGACTGAAGGTTCTAGGCTATCCAAATAAGAATAATTAGTAAAATTATTACTCATTTTCTTTTCTTTTCCTTTCCTTTCCTTGTGAGACTGGAGACCAGGTCATGGTTGTTCCAAGCTTATCAGATGAAGAAGCCAAAAAGCTGTTTCCAGGAGGGATTTGCACTAAGCAACTTCCATCGGGCAAGAATTATCTTCGTTATACCTCCCCATAACAATTGTGAAGAGAAATCATATGAACAGAATGCTATCACTGGGACTTTGCAGGACTGGTTGCTTTAAATGTGTGGAAATATACTTTGAGAGGCTGTTGCAAAAGGGAAGCAAAGTATCTATTAATTTTTTTTAACCCAGTGACTGGTGTGGCTTACAGCTTCAGCTAATCAGTTTAGGCTTGTTCAAATGAAATCAGTTTTCCTCACCTTCTTCTTGGAATTGAAATTACCACTTTTAAAACAGTACAGATTTTTCTTTAATGTATTTTCTATTCTCCAGCCACATAAAGCATGATTCATGAAGAGCGGATTAATATTTTTTCATTAATTGGAATCAATTTCTGTCATGTGTAAAAAGAGTCACATCTTGTATTATTGTTTCCAAGATTATCAGACATGAAGGTTTTTGGATTCAGTTTACAAAATAAATTGAATAAACTATTACTTGTATTTGGGACTTTCATTTTAATCCACTGTATTAATTAAAAGCCTAATTCAGAAAAAATGTTAATTTTGTGAATGATTAAAGCAGAGGTATGGAATAGATTTAACAAAGATGACATCTTTTATTTAGCTGGTTCAGAAAATAAATCAAGTTAAAATATTTATGTGTTATTGTTCACTCATTCTTAAATACATCAACACAGTGGAATTTATGCCGGACATCATTCAAGTTCTTTCTAAAAACAGATTTTGCCTTTCACATCTAGTAGAAGCATAGAATATTCTACCTCTGGGCTAATGATTTGGTTATTTTAATATTTATGGAAAAATGTTTAGTTCATTTGGGCCCTGGTGATGCTTTATTTTTGTAGAAAAGCACAGTTTTAGATTTAAATCACTGTGGGTCCTTACTCCTGTTCTTGATGTTAATGGGATTTGACAGCATTACCTTAGAATTAAACAGTGAGTCATTGGTTTTTTATTTATAGAGATATAACAGTAAAGTTTCTCACATAATAATGAAACCTTTGTAGTAGACCCTTCAGATTAAGTAGACTCTTAGCTGTGAAAGCCAGCTGGGTGACTTTGGACCAATCACTCTCTCAGCCCAATTCACCTCACAGACTTGTTGTGGGGACAGTAGGAAGAGGAAGCTGTGTAGGATAATTTTGCTGCCTTGAATTATTTAAAAATAATAAAGGTGGAATACAAATAAATAACCTCTCTATTTTAATAACATCCATTCCATTTCATACAGAAAACCATTATCACTTGCTAGACTTAATGTTCTGCCATTAGATGGTTGAATCATACTCCATCCCAAAATTGCCCATGTTTCTGTTGAGTTGGGATGGTTGAGACAGCATTGTACTATTGCTATGGTGCCCTCTGACTTGTTGAACTAATAATGCTTTTGTTAAGCAATAGACTAAAGGTAATAAAATGCTGGTGAAATACTTTCTATTTATATTCACAAATATCTAGGAGGGTTGCCAAATTTTATGGAATTGTAATTGTTGTAAGAAGGATGTCAGTTTAATTTTGGGAATGTCCAAATATATTTCTTGTTTAATTTTATTAATTACTAGCTGTACCCGGCCACGCATTGCTGTGGCCCAGTCTGGTGCTTCCGCTGGGCTAAAAGAGCGAGGCTGAAGTTCCAAACTCTCCACGAACATTTGGTGGGCATGGCCAACTCGACGTCACTCACTTTCATCAGTCACATGACAGCCCCCGAGCCACGCCTACCCAGCTGGTGATTAGGGCAGAGAACTGGTTGCTAAAAAACAATGGGAACCACAAAATCCTCCCTCTCTGTCTCCCCCTCTCTCTTTGTATCTCTCTCCCCCGTCTGTATCTCTCTCTCTCCTATGTCTCTGTCTCCCCCCTCTCTGTATCTGTCTCTCTCTCTCCCACCCTCTCTCTCTCTATCTCTGTATGTGTCTCTCCGCCCCCCCCCCCGTCTCTCTGTATTTCTCTATGTCTCTTTCTCCCTCTCTCTCTCTGTTATCTCTGTCTCTGGCCTGGCCTCTTCTGCATCCCCTGCCATCACCCTTACCTTTTCAGGCCAGGCCTTCGCAGCTCTCCACACCACAGTAGAAACTCGGGGGCCCCCTCCGTCCTCCCTACACAGATGTTCTCTGGGGGCTCGACGGGGAGACACATAGCAGGGAAGGGAAGGGAGGGAGGGAGGGGGTGCGGCGGGGGTTTGGGGCTTCCCACCCGAAGGAAGAAAGCAAAGCCAGGAGCCATGCACACACCACTGGACCCCTGCTGCACAGTTCTCCTCCCCCGCCTGCCAAGGGCAGGGGAATGATTAAATCCCCCGCTCTTTCAGGCGAAACGAAGGAGGGCCGGCCATCCTCCCTCCTGCCCGTTTCCGCCCCCTGAAGCCCCTTTTCTGCCAGAGGCCGAAATTTTCGTGTAGGCTCTGTGAACTGCAAGAGCGCTCACCAAAATCAAAGGCAGCGCTGGTCAAAGGCGACCCCGAGGCTTCAGTTGCCTCCATCTCCCACTCACCGACCGGATTCGCATAGCGCCGGTTAGCGGCTGGTCTTTCTGACCTAGCGGCCCATGGTAGCACTGGGCCAGGCGCGATTTGGGCCAGGCAAGGAACGGAGGGTTCCCGCTCGGCGGACCTAGGCAGCCTCATTGCCAGATGTTCTTTGGAGGGAGCCCCAAGAGCGGCTGGCGAGGGGGATGGGCAGCAGCAGCGGGCGAGGCTAGTTCACGGGGTGGCCAGGGGAGGGGGAGGTCAGAGCCAGGCTCGGGCGGGCCCCGCCGAGCCCTAGAAGCACTGGCTGCGAGGGCTTCCAGGTGGGGAGCTGGTTGCCTACCTGCCGAGCCTGGTGGCAGGATATGGCTCTCGGGCATCTCTGCCTTCCAAATGCGCAGTTTCTTGGAAGCAATATGGAGAGTCTAAATATAAGGAGCAGAAATCTGTTGAGGGTAATCAGGGCTGGGAGGCTGCCATGTTGGTTTTATGTCCAGCAGATGGCGCTGTTTTTCAATGTTTTTCAATGTTTGTCAATGTCTTTCAATGTTTTCCAATGTTTTTCATGTTTTTACCTGTCACAGGTGTGACATGTATATAATATAGGTATATAAAAACACGTCCGTAGTCCAGGGGTGGGTTCCAAAAATTTTTACTACCGGTTCTGTGGGTGTGGCTTATTTGGTGGGCGTGGCTTGGTGATCATGTGACTGAGTGGGCGTAGCCAGCTCGAAGTCACTCACGGCAAGGTGGGGCGGCACCTTGCTGTGAGTGACATCAAGTTGGCCACGCCCACTCAGTCACATGACCGATGCTGCAGAGACAGAGCGATTTCCTATGTACCTTCCCCTGACCCTTGGGCTGATAAAATAAAAGCCTGCCTGCCTAGCAGCCCAAACTGGAAAATGAGGGGGGGGAAGATGCTTCATGTCTAGAAAAACAGACTTTCTTTTAATCGCCTCATCAAACCACAAACTCCTCCGATCAGGGCTTCGGTCTCTGAGTAACGGGTCGGACGAAGAGTGGGGAAGTGACTAAAGGGGGAGAGAGGGACAAAGCCCCCTTAATGTGGATGCACGTAAAAAAAGGGTGGAATTTTGACAAACTTCTCCCCCAAGACCAAGAAGAGATTCATTTCCCACTCGCCCTCCCCCCCAATATTTCCAAGAGCCTCCAACTTTGCAGCAGCTGCTGCTCCTCGCTTCTCCTGTCCCGGAAGTGGAACCAGGCGCCGTTTCCTCCCCCAAGTCATTGCTGGAGCATCAGAGATCTAAGGAAACTTTACAACTTTAAGAGAGGCGAGAAGCCAACGCAAAAGAAGCAGCAGTGGAGGCAACAGGGCAGGGCATTGTGTGTGTGTGTGTATGTGTGTGTGACAGAGAGAGAGAGAGAGAGGCATCCAGCCACCCTCCCCCAGCACCACCGCTGCTCCTGGCACTCTCTCACCTCCAGCACAGCAGCTCCGTCTCCCTGAATGGCCGCCCGCCCACCCGCAGGCCGGGCTGGAAGGCAGGCAAGCATGGTAGGGCCATGGGGAAGGGAGCTAGCTAGCTGAGTGGCCCCGACATGCTTGCCTGCCTTCCCGGTGGTCCCCGTGGCCAGGCCCGCTTGCTTACCTTCCTCCCCCACCACCACTTCTTTTTTCGGCTGCTTACCTTCCACGGTGGCTGGTCCAGAGTCGGGAAGGCAAGCTAACCTGAGTTTTTGGCAGCCCCCAGCCAGCTGCCGCTGCTGGAAAGTGGCTGGCCAGAAAGCCTCCGAAAAGGCTTTTTTGCCAGCCACTTTCTCCGCAGGCTGCCAAAAAGCATCTGCTGTTGTCGCCATGTTCTTTGCGCATGCACATTCCATTGGACTTGCAAGGCAATAGGATGCACATGTGCAAAGAACATGGCGGTGATGAACATGGCGGCTGGGGAACCGGTTCGGGGGTGTGGCCAGCCAGCAACTACTACCGGTTCTCCGAACGATAAGAGTTTTTTACTACCGGTTCTCGAGAACTGGTGCAAACCGGGAGCAACCCACCCCTGCCATAGTCGAATGCAATGTTGTGTCAAAATTTGAAAGTAATTGGTGAAGAACTTTCGGAGATGTGCGGTTATGTACAAACGGACATTTACATTTTTATTTATATAGATAGAAATCTTACTATATTTGATTGTGATTGTAACTGTATTCATTCTTTGACTATAAATAAGTGAAAGCTCCACTATCACCCAGCACGCATGGAGTGAATGTGCATTGATGAACTCTTGGTGGATATGGCTGGGACAAGCAGCCTGTAGTGGCAGTGACTGGATTAATGTTTCAGGAACATTAGTGATGAAGATTTGTGCTTGCCAGCTTGGAGGAGACTGTGGTTAGTAAAAGCTAAGTAAGGCTTGGTGACAAGCAGTAGAACATTGACTTAAGACAAATGGCTGTGGTGGGGGTGATTGTTGCATTGCCACATTTTTTATCAACTGGAGAAGAGATAGTATTTTGTAATTTTAAGAGTTCCACATAAATAAAACACACTTCTTGCACATGAGGGAAAATACACATATTTACCACAATCAGCTGTGCAATATACACATGTATATTTGAAGGATGCATTTCTTTATTACAATCCTGATTTTTTGTAGAATTTGAGAATAGTGGAATGTATATTGTAGAGTTGGAAACTGCATGTAAATCCATGTAATTATTCTGAAACAAACCTGGGGGGCAGAAATTATTTTGTCTTACAGAATTCTTTATGTGAGTAGAAATCTAATGTATGACATTTCAATTATTCAGTGATCGAAGATTTTTTGTGTGAAATAAGTGAAATACTTTGATTCACAGAAACCAATTTGATCTCCTATTTAGATTTAGAATTTCCCCTTAAGAAATACAGCAAAGTTATCCATATTCAAACCTTCAAGTGCTAAAGTGTTGTAGTGGCACAATGGTTAGAATGCAGTACTGCAGGCTAACTCATTGCTCACTCCAGGAGTTTGATTCTGACAAGCTCAAGGTTGACTCAGCTTTCCAGTCTTCCGAGGTCAGTAAAATGAGAACCCAGATTGTTGGGGGCTATATGCTAATCCTGTAAACCTCTTAGAGCTGGAAAGCTCTATGAAGCAGTATGTAAGTCTTTTAAGTGTTATTGCTATTGAAACCTCAAACATATACTTTGATTTTCTCTTTGTTTTTGAAGGGTATGGTATCACCATGCCTAAATTGAAAAGAGCTCTCTGAACCTTCAGAATCTGGGAAGGGGGTAAAAAGATTTGCCAAACAGTCATCCATGATTCCACTGTTCAGAAAATCAACTCCAAGTGTGAAAGATTTCAAAACTGCAAACCTGGCCAGACTAAAGGAAGTCTGTAAGAACTCCAGAATTTCATCACAAGATCTATAGGTAGCTCTCTTTCCTACTGATGTCAAACTGCATGAATCTACCATTGGAAAGAAGTGGTGTAAATTAGATCTACATGGGGAGTGTACTAGGAAGAAACCTTTGCTGTCCAGAAAGAATATCAGAGCAAGTATAAAGTTTGCTGTAGATCTAGACAAAGACCAGACTTCTGTAACAATGATACGGCAAATTAGAGTTATTTGCCAGTAATTTCTGCAAACATATTTGGCAAAAACCAAATATCATAAAATCCTGTTAACAGGCCTCTTTAGCAACTGTTTGAAGTACTTTGGCACTGGCAAAATAACTTTATGGCCACTCCTTGCACTTATGACCATTGTACCATCTCTGCTGTCATGTGATCGAAATTTGGATGCTTTCTAACAAGCAAATGGAAAGTGAAATGACAAGTTATGGTGATATGTCTGCCTTAATGACCTGCAGTGATCAGTTTAACCACAGTGGGAGAGACAAGTCCAACAGTTCAACATGGTCACATAATGTTTTGCTTAGTGACAGAGTGACTGGACCCAGTTGTGGTTGGTAACCAAGGACTAGTATATATTTGTCATTTGATGGGGCACTGGAAATCCTAGAATGAATTGGAAGGAGTGAGGTTTTCAGTAAACTCAATTAAGTTGGCAGGTAGAAGTAAAACGCTTAAGAGAAATTTATTCTAGATTATGCAAAGATTCAACACCTAGCATGTGCCAGCAGAAAACACTTCCTGAAAATAAAATAGTAATTAAAAATGTGAGAATTCTTTTATCCAAAAGTAAGCTTAAAAATACTCACGTGGTGCAGCCAATTTTGTGAAGATAGGAAGCATTATGTCCTCCAACTGCTGCTTCTGATCAATAAATTCTTGTGTATTAGGCTCTTTTGTATTTTCAAGCCAGTCCAATTTGGCCTGACAGGCCTTGATGGAGGTTGTCTACACAGAATAAACAAGAGTATCAGCAAAAAACAGCATTTTAGCAACCACTAGAGGTAACCTAGCCGAAATGTAGGCATGCAAGGTGTAGTAACTTTTGAATGATTTCAGAGAATGGAAATTATTTTACATCCTAAAATATTTATTTATAAATATTAGGGTTCTTGAGAAATTTCAAAATACAAAAACACAGTAAAGTAGAAGTGTGACATTGTTAGCATATTTGCTCACAGATAGCAAAGGCTAGGATATATGATGTATTTGAAAGAGACATTTGGGAAATAGTTAATAGTTACAAAATTGTATTAAATATGTTTCTAAATTTCCATGCATGAATTCAGATATAAAAATTTGGTAATCAAATACTGAACTTCCTAGAAATATTCCAATATAAAGAAGCATTTGTTCATATATTCACTTTAAATATCTATGAAATTAATATTTGAACTATAATCGACTAATTCCAGGCTATTTGTTTTTATTTGTGTGAAACAATATAATATTTTACTTACAATTTGTTATTTTTTATTGTATCTTAAAAGCCATGTGTGGTTTACAAAAATGCTATATATAACAATTAATTGTTCAGAATATATGTTACGTATAGTCACCAATAAATCTTGATTTAAAAAGATTTGGAATTGGCAATGTTAGCTAAAGGTCCCCTACATCATGTGACATTTCTTCCTACTTGGTCCTTGCAAAAGACTGAAGAAGTAGTTTGACATTTGAAATGAAACTTCTGATGACCCTATAATACTTTTATAGGGATTTGACTGGAAGCGTCGCGGCGAGACAGTCAGGGATTAGCGGGCTCTAATGAGCCCTGCAAAATCCTGGGCTGACGAACCACTGTAGAGGGGTCTTTGGACCGGATCTGTCCTGTAGGAACAGGGAAGAAAGAGAGGCACCTTGGAAGACCAAGAGGAACAGGCAAGTTCCTTGGAGGTCAGAGGAAATTCTCTGACTCTGCAGCGGGGGGGGGGGCGGCCATTACGACCGCCAGTAAGCTGGGGCAACCGATCTAAGCACTGTGCAGGAGCGGAGAATTGAGCAGAAGATTGATGCCAAGTGAGTGACATCTAACTCATAGGCAGAAAGAAAAAAAAAGAAGATGATTAAGGCAGAAGTTACAAAGTGACAAAACCTGATCAGAAAATTGTTTTGTAATCTTCTTTTGTTAAAAGAGGATTACAACATAACTTTAATTGGAATAATATCAACCTAGAAAGAACAAATGGTGCAGGAACTTAAGGAAATTATGAAAATGATGTACTTATCATTGAAAATGGAAATAAAGGAAATGACTACAATTTTGTATGGAAAAGTGAAACTGGATGACCAAAAAATTGACTTAGGACATATTCAAGATGACAAAGAATTAACTAATGAGAAACAAGAAAAAGAGACTGACAATAAAGAAGACAAAGACAAGGAGATTGATTATGGGAAATTAAATGATTATGTGGGTAGTAATAATAAAAAGGAGAACTTTAAAAAATTACATTGGGATTAACAATGGAAGAAACAGAAAAAGGGGAAAGAAAGAAAAGAGGGTGGAATAAAAAGAATATAAAAAATTTAAATGATTACACTGGGATTAATAATGAGAACATAAGAAAAAGGGATGGAAAAGAATGTGAAAAACACAGCAAAATAGAAGAGTTTTTAAAAAACAAAATGAATATATTGGGATTAGCAGTGGAAAGATAAGAAAAAGAGAAAAGAGAGTTCAGGATTCTAAAATAAAAAAGAAAAGGGGAAAGAAAAATAAAATAAAGTAAAATATAAAGATAGAAAGGGAGAAAGAAATGGAAGAGGAATATGGAGTAAATGAAATGAATATTAGAGAAAAGATGAAATTGTATTTTTTATTGAAGTGATTTCAAGCTATATGGATGTATGATGAATGTAATAATTGGAATATTTTTAATTAATGAAGGGGACTGTAATAACTGGAATATTCTTAATTACATATTTGGAATTTAACTAAATAAAAGAAAGCTGAAATGATATTGGATTATGAATTAGTTAGATATAATTAACTGGTTTTTATAAAAATGTTGAAGTGTATTATTTGGAATAGTTGATGAAGAAAAAATTATTTGAAATTGGAACAAGAGATTCTAAGAAAATAATTAGGAATTGTATTATGCTGTATGAGTTTAAATTTGGGGGTGCTGGAGTAAGATTGATACTTAATTGATTTTTTTATTGAATATGTTTAATTATTGAAATCATGATAATAGATTACATTTATAATAAGAGATAATACAAATAATTGATGAAGTAATAGAATAGTAATAATGAATTATTTAAGTGAATATGAAGAAATGACAAAATGTAGGGATGCTTAAGAATTGAAAATAAGAATATAAGATATAAGAAGTTCAATATATGAAATTGTAGTAGTCAGAACATTTGGGTTAAGATACATATTTAATTGGTTTCTAGTAATATGTTGAATTGTATTATTTGAAATAGTTGATAAAAGAATCATTGGTGATTAGAATAAGAGAATTTAAGGAAATAATTGGGGATCGTACTATATTAGGTGAATTTAAATTTAGGGGTTCAAATTTTAAGGAGGGAAAAGAAAAATTGAACTATAATATGATGAGAAGTTATGATGAAGGGCAATATTGGTTTCTTAAAATTAGAGAGAATAAATGCTATGAGAAAAATTGAATATATAAAATTGTGTTAAAGATGAACAAAAATCTGTACAAATTTAAGACCAAGCCAATATTTTGTTCAGAAAAGATGTATGTTTGTTTGTGTGTTTAAAAAAACTTTACAAAAAAAAAATATTTTTATAGGGTCATCAATAGGGTCATCAGAACTGGAGATTTTTTCCGGTTTGGTGTTGCAGCGTCGGGGAATTAGCTCCACGAAAACCCGGACTGATGAACCGCTGCCGATGGGTTTTTGGACCAGAACCGTCCTGTAGGGATGGGGAAGAAAGAAAGGCACCTCGGATGACCGAGAGAAACAGGCAAGTTCCTCGAAGGTCAAAGGAAACTCTCCATGACTCGGCAGCAGGGGATGGCAGCCATTGCAGCTGCCATGAAGCTGGGGCAACCGGATTAAGTATTGAGCAGGAGTGAGGAATGGAACAGAGTTTTTTGAAGCCAGGTGAGTGACAGCCAACCCAGGTTAGAAACAACAACAAGGGAAACATCTTTTAACTATAAGACCCTTAGTGATAAAATAGCGGCTAATGAGCGCAGGGGCAAGAAAAGAAGATCTTGAAGCGTAATTTTAAAGAGACAAAAACCCGAAAGAAAATTGACTCTTGAACAAAACTATTTGGAAATTTTAAATAACTAGATTTGGTTAAAGGATCGGAAAGAAATAAAGAGATCCTTTTTTTCCCTTTCTTTTTTAAATTTCAAGAAAAACAAAGAGAATGGATAATGAGTCCTAAAATAGAAATGGTGTATAAATAAAAGGAAAAAAAGGAAAAAAGAAGTGAGAAGAGCTATTTAAATTCGGACTGGACTTTAAAACTGATTTGATACTTTGAAAACTAAAAAGAAAAAGAGAAGCTAATGTAAGATTGTTAATGTAATTGAAACAAAATGGAGACACCTTCTGGAGTAAAAAGGAATATTTGTTTTGGAAAATTGTGAACTTCATAGATAACAACTGTGAGAACTTGTGGGGGAGGATTTTTTTGTCTGCAAGTGGCTTAATGTTGCAAAAAAAAGGGAATACAATGGAACTCTTATAATTGGAATAATATTAAACTAAAAAGAATAAAATGGCACAGGAATTAGAGAAAGGATCAAATAGATGTATTTGACTTGGAAAATGGAAATAAGAGAAATAATTATAATGTTGCACAGAGGACAAAAATTTGAGGACATAAAAGCTGAAATGGAGTACACGCAAGCGGACAAGAAAATGAAGATGGAGAAACAAGACAGAGGCTGAAAATAAAGAAGATAAAGATTAAATATGAATAAGTAATTAAATATGTGGATAGTAATAATAAAAAGGAGGTTCTTAGAGATTATATTGAGACTAATAATAACATAAAGATGATTACACTGGGATTAATAGAGGAATGACAAAAGAAAAAAAGGTTGGAAAATATTAGGGAATATAGGGTAAAATAGAAGAGTCCAGGACTTTGATATATAAAATGACTATATTGAGATCAACAATGGTAATAAAACATGAGAGAAGAATATGTTACAGATACTTAGAATTGAAATATGGATTGAAGCTAAAATATATGAGAAATAGACTATGTTAAAAGAAAATATATCAATGGACACAATGAATCAATTTTTATTAAGATGTTAGATGGTATTATTTGAGAAAATTGATGGCTATAATAATTGGGATATTGTTTAAATACCTATAACAATGGTAATAATTTGAATATTTTCAATAATACATCTGTTTAAGCAAAAAAGAAAAGAAAATTGAAATGATATAGGACTATGATTTACAAATAAGAATTACTTAATTGGTTTTTATATAAATGGTATTGTTAAATAGATAGAATTTAGGGAAATAATTGGGAATTGTATTATGTAGTATTATTTGAATTAAGAATTTTGTTCAAATGTTAAATTGTTATATTTTTAGGATTAGAGATAAGATTTAAACTTGAAGTAATAATGAAATAAAGATTCAATTAATATTATATGAATAATAAATGTAAGGAAGTTTTAGAAATGGAAATTAGATTCTGAAATATAAACATGTTTGAACTGTATTATTAATAATGAGGATTTAGGGTAAGAATTGTGAAATAATATTATTATTATTATTATTATTTTATTTCTATACCGCCCTTCTCCCGAAGGACTCAGGGCGGTGTACAGCCTATTAAAAGCACAAAGACAGACATCAATTAAAAATAATTAAAATTATTAAATAGTTTCGGCTCAAATTTAAAACCCCCAAAATTTAAAACACCTAATTTAAAATCATTACATTGATAGCCCGGCCTGGCGGAACAGCAGGGTCTTGAGGGCACAGTGAAATACATGGAGGTCGGAGATCTTACGCATTTCTGGGGGCAGTTCATTCCACAGGGCAGGGGCTCCCACAGAGAAGGCCCTCCCCTTGGGTGTCGCCAGCCGACATAACTTGGCCGATGGCACCCTGAGGAGACCCTCTCTGTGGAAGCAGACTGGCCGGTGGGAGGCTATTGGTGGCAGCAGTCAGTCTCGAAGGTACTCAGGTCCTATGCCATGGAGCGCTTTAAAGGTGGCAACCAGCACCTTGAATCGCACCTGGAAGACCACTGGGAACCAGTGCAGCTCGCACAGGAGGGGTATCACGTGGACACAATGGGTTGCGCCCATAACCACCCACACGGCCGCATTCTGGACCAGTTGGAGCCTCCGAGTGCTCTTCAAGGGGAGCCCCATGTAGAGAGCATTACAGTAGTCCAGCCGGGAGGTGACAAGGGCGTGAGTGACCATGCGCAAGGCGTCTCGGTCCAAAAAGGGCTGCAACTGGCGAATCAGGCGAACCTGATAAAAAGCCCCCCTGGCCACGGCCGTCATATGCTCTTCTAAAGAGAGCCGTGCATCCAGGAGGACACCCAGATTGCAAGCCCTCTCTGTGTGGGGCATGTACTATGAGGTATTATTTGAATTAAGATTTAAGGTGGATTAATAGAAGAGTAATTGCTTTGGTTAAGTTAATAGGAGTAAACTTTCTATAAAATGGTAATAGTTGAGATATGTGATTTAAGATTAAGAAATAAATGCTGTGGCAAAAATAGAATATATAAAATTTTGTGAAAGATGACAAAAAATTGAGCAAATTTATGACCGGATCAAGGCTCTGTTCCGAAAAGATGTATTGTATGTTTATTTGTATGTTTTAAATTTTTTTTTGCAAAAAATAAAATAAAATAGGGTCATCAGTAACAATGAGTCAGTAACTATCAAATATATTTTGGCATTAGCTTACGATTAAACTAGCCAAATTTAAACTCACTATATAAAGAAAATCTATAATTAATTAAATAATATACCTTATCTTCTTTATTCAGCTTTCCCTGAACTTTCTCAGGATCAGTGATTGTTGCCTGGATTTGGGAAATAAAATTGCGTAAATTCTGTTTGGCCTCTGAAAAAGAGAGAAAAAGAGAGAATAAAAAGACATGAGAATATCCAAGAAATGCTGCCATACTACATAATAGAAAGTCTACCACAGCTGAAGTTAACTAGATTCTGTGCATCATCTAGATTTCTCATTTTTTCCCAGCGAGCAATCCATTTTAGAGATTAAATTATATGAGATGTTTCTAGGGAGAAAAATAATTGTTGGAAGGTATATTTTTATTGAGAACACTGCCAGAAACTGAAAGATTAACTGTCTTCACTCTGCAGTAATATTGATGAAAACTCTTTCTACCATTTAATACATATTGATTTTTTTAAAAAGGAGCTGACAAAATGCACATGCATTTATTGCTGCTTGTCTGCCTTTTTCATGTAGAATTAACTCTAATTGTGTTTGCAATGTCAACCGATGTCTTTCCTGCTGTTTTTTTTTCTGGATAATAACTTCAAAATGGTAAATTTCCTTTTGTGTTTCCCTGTAGACATGACATGTCAGAGTGTGCACAGCTTTACTACGTGAAACAACCCAGGAACAATAACAGCAAACAGAGGTTTGTAGTAAATAGTGGTTTTACCTACAAAAGAATACATACTATACATATGCATACTAAAAGCAGAAGTCAAACAATCAGTAAATTACAGCAGAGAATTATGGCGAGAGAGAGAAGCCCTAACAGGGCCTCTTCTTATTATACAGGCTCTTAAAGGGATAACAGCTAAAAACCTTGCTGACTTATTCCCATCATTACATCAGCGCATCATTGCATCATCGTAGCAGCTGGTCAGCTCTTAAATCACTACCTTAACATGACATACACCACATAGGCAATCTATCAGAATGTGTAAATAATCTACTTCCCTTAAGCTCTCAGGATGGAGAGTTACATGTTATATTATGCCATGACCCCATTTATGGATTTTTCTTTTATGCTTCCATACACCCTTCTCTTCCTCTAGAAGTCAAATGTTCATGACTTCAATTAATCCATGAATCCCATTAAATATTTGGTTATTTATACATGATAAATAACAAATAGAAGGAAACTGGTCATGTAGTGCCCACTTCGTGGGGGTCAGTGTAATGAGCAAGAAGTATGAGATAGCAAAGACACTATAGAATTTAATTTCTATTCTTCATCCCCTCTCTCCTCTTTATAAATACCCCAAGGTATGTATAAATTATGGAGATATGCCTTCTCCCTTTACCGTCTAACATAATGCAACGGGTATTATCTGAGCAGCTAAATTAACAAAGTCTCAAGTCAAATTTATACTGCTTTGGGGAAGATAATTAGAATAATCCTTTAAATAATTTCATAACATCTTTCTATATTAAAATATTATAGAATTTATTTTTTCCAGTATGATTAAAGCATCTTACATTCAGAAAACAACCATTTATTAGAAAAATAAAATGACATTTGTCAAAGATTTTTAGTAAATAGTCACGCTAGGTTATGATTTTCAGAAATGCCTTATTCAGAATTAGGGAAAACATTATGTATACTTACACATTTTTACATATGAGAATTGTTAGTATAAAATATAGTAAGATTTTCAAGTAACTCTCATTATTTATTATTTCATTATTTCAGATGCATGGCATTTGTACTGCATTTTCATTAAGTAATACACCTTACCTTCTTCCCTTAGGAATGGCATTAATTAGCCAGCATTTTCAAGTTGATTGTACTAAAGATTTCTTTACCTGATATCAACTGAAAACATGGCATTTTTAAAGGAACAAGTATGACAGGCCCATTCCAACATGGGTAAGGAAAGGCAAGAATCAACAGGAGGAGGAGGATATATAAATAATTATATGACGTGCTTTTTATGTTGATAACATTATATTACAGGAACAAGGGACAAGACATGTCTACGCCTAATAATTTGATAAATGTACATTTTGTTTTAAGAGTAGGATATTTCCAATTTGTATTCTTCGCCTTACATTTCTTTACTTTGAAACGCTTTCCTTCAGTTCTTATTGACTTCATAGACACTTTTCTATAAGATCTGGAGCTCCTTTATGACATCACAGAATCTTCTCACAGCTGATGGGCTAATATTACCACATTCAAATCTCTCTAATGCCCAGGCAGGAAGCTTGGTTATCATGGAAGGATTTATTTGACTAAGATTCTTTTGTGACAGTCCATAATGAACCTCAAAGGCCAGTTGCTGCAACTCCTACACAAGGAACATCCATTACATAGAGACATTTTTGTCTAAAAATAGCATAAAATGTTTCTGCGTCATTCTTGCCAGATTTTCCTTTTGTGGACTATCTTCTTGATGCAAGATGTTCTTGGTTTTTGTGAACGACCAGCCTGGACAAGAGTTGCTTGGGAAATGACTCCACAGGATCTGGAATTGGTGACTAAAGAGCAATCTATCCTCTTTCATAACTCAATATGTCGCATTTACCAGTGTTTTACTGGCATAGGACTATCTAAAGGGTGCCTAGAAGTAGTTTATGCTAGTTACAAAGTGGCACTTGTCATAGCTATAGGTTTAGCTGTACACTTCCTTTTACCCAAACTGAAACTGACAAAAAGCCCAAAGGTAAGATTCGGAAACCAGCTGTGCAATGAAGAGGATGCTTCATCCTTTCCCAATTATATCATTGCCTGATCTCTAACTTTCATTCCCTATCCCTAATTCAGAATCCCATCAAATAAAAATAACGCTGTCTGCTGATAATGTAATTATTTCATCTGATTCACATCCCCAACATCTGTCGTCCTATTATCTGAAGCAGATTTAGTGAGAATGCTATTGGATTGGTCTTTGCATATCTGGTTCTCCACAATGTATGTATGTATGTATGTATGTATGTATATGTGTGTGTGTGTGTGTGTGTGTGTGTGTGTATATATATATATATATATATATATATATATATATATATATATACATATATTCTGCATAATAGATAATTGTCAATTCATAGCAGCTCCAGGTTTCTCTGCTTCTACATGGAATTGTAGGAGTTAAAATCTCAATTCATCTGGAGGGAACTTAAGACTTGAAATCTTAGCCTTCTAAGAATTGTAATTTCAATAATTGTTTGAATGGCTAAACTCTGATATAATCTAGTCCATATATGATTTATATTGTTGTGCATTTAAAGATTATTATCAATATCTGCAATCTACAAGAGATTCTAAGGCATGGCTCTGCCAGTTGGCCAAAGGATCAAATGGGGGAGTTTTACACTGGAGGTATCTTCTAGAGTGATGGCAGACTCCACTCTCCCCCCCCCCACCTTTGCTCTCTGCTCTCCATCTCTCCATCTTCTGGTTATCATATTGAAGTATTCTTGTTGCATTCCTTTATCATTGTTCACATTATTGTTTTATTATTTTATTTCTGTTTACACACTTTTTCATTTTTCTTCCTTTTTGTTATTGTAAACCACCTAGAATAACCCCATGGCTAGACAGGTGACAAATAAAATGTTAAAATAATAGTAGTAATAATAGTGCTATGAACCATAATTATATCTTAACTCCAACCTGTATTCTAAGTTCAACTAAATTTTGTCTAATTTAGATTTTGAATGGTATATATACATAGTGCCCAATCTGAGGTAAGCTCCAAGATAGATGGTGTACATTTTCAATAAGTTTTAATTCACAGTAAATAGTAAAAATATCTAACTCTGTTGTCAAGACACATAAAAAATGTTCAGCTCTCAGAAAAAAAGTATTACCATAAAAAATTCAGCTCTCAGATGTTATCTTTATAAAAGCTAACACGAATGGGACTAAAGACAAGGAACAGATATTTTTATGTCAGAAAATCAAAACAATTCAAGAAAATGAGAAGCATATTGGAGAGGGGAAACTTTGGTGATTAGCCAAACATTCAAAACAAAGATAATATCTACGGAAGGAGTAACAGCAGAATATAGTAATGAAACTCTGCTACCGGAATGTAATATTATAGAGATTACAGTACAGCTTTATGCTAAATAATTTTAAATAACAGTATTTTTCATGCAGAGATATAATAGTAAATTATATGCTAAATAATTTTAAATAACAGTATTTTTATGCAGAGAAGAAATGTAATTGTAATAGTAAATTATATAAATTTCTCCTTATGGCTGAAGCAAGGCTAGAAGTATTTGTCTGAATGTAGGATTTTTGGATATAATCGGTGTCTGCTTACCTAGACTCCAAGGTGAACAGTGATTTCCAAAGTTTAAAATATGGATCTCGTTGTATAAGGTTAACAGTCTTATTACTAGCTTTGATCATACATATTTAACAACAACTTGAATTCCTATACTTACAAAATTGAATAAGGAAACCTTTCTTGGCACTTTTATTTGTATGACAAGAAAAGCATCCATTGCTTATTATCTACATATCAAACTCTTGTTCAAAACCATCTGCTATTTAACATTTTTTTAAATTTTAAAAACCCTGTATTTTCAGAACAGATCAATAAATGGACAGGTAATTACTGAACTTATAAAATTAATGCTCAGTATAACAATAAAAGATATCAGAGTACACAGAATTACTTTCCTGATATAAAAAACAAGCTTTAATTTTTTACCTTAATGCTAATGTCTCCACTATATATCATGTATAAGTTTAAAACAACATTAACATGCTTGCAATTTTTTTCACTTGACAGTCAGAAAACCCGACAACAGCAGTATCAGTTGTCACAGAAATGAATGATGACTATAGCCACGACATGAACAAAATGCTCTACAAGTTAGTGACTAACACTTCCAAGATGATGAAATACATGAAGCGTGTCACCCATCATCACAAAAAAGAAATCAAGTACCGTAAATTAAGCAAAAAGAGAAAAAACGATGACTATGATGAAGATGAACAGCTTTTTCCAGTTTGTCTGCACAACCATAGCTCCAGTGCAGACACCATATAATGTATAGGGCCAAAAAAATTCTTCCTTCCTATATTCAGCTCTTACTGAATATTTGAAGTGTTGCTCTCAATCCAATAAGATGGCAAAGGAAGTAACAAAGCTCCAATATAGGTTGCTTGGTATGCTGAATTAGATTCTGTGCAGGATACTATGAATTGTACTAAAGAAGACACAAAGGGGCTATTAAATGTTGTTTTAAAGTCAAACCAAAGTGATTTGCATCTACAATCTCAATAATTAAAGACTATTTGGTAGATAATGGAGTGAGTCTTCAATATGATTTTACCTTTGTTATATAAAACTGGGACTGAATTTTAATAAAAGGCTCCCTTTTCACAGGAAGCAAAGTGCTCTTTCAGCAGTTCAGCATTCTTCATGCTTGCTGGATTTCAGATATAGTTAATTCTATGTGACAGAAAAAAAAGATGGAAAAAATCCTTTCTTCCCAACTTTCTCTTGATATGATTTCTGCTCAGGGAAAACAGGCAAGCAAAAAACAGACAAAAGGCAAGTGATCCTAAAAGAATGAGAAGATGGCTGAGCGATTCAGTAGCTAAAAGTCAAGCTTATGTAAGTTGCCCAGAGATCAAAAGAAAGGAAAAGATCCTTTTGTTTTATTCTTTAGCCTCTGAACCTGTTTGTCTGATCATCCACAAGACAGTTTTGCCTGCTTTGTTTTAGTGCTCTTGTATGGTGATCAGTTTCTGGCTCTGAAGACCCCTTGATAAGAAATGATCCTTTCTTTGAGTACTGATCAGGTACAGACACTTCTCACAAAATGACAAAATCATCAAGAATTAGAAATGACTCACTACAGGAAGTCCTTGACTTACAACCGGTCACTTAGTGATATTTAAAGTTCTGACAGATCCCCCCCCCCCAAAGACCGCCAAATATGACCCACACAGTCACATGATCATCTTTTGGTTGCTCAGCAACCAGCCCACATTTATGTCCATTTGCAATATCCCACTGTGCTGTGACCATAATTTCATATATATTTTTTTGTCAGAAATCAGCATTTATTTCTGGTTTCCTGCAAAAAATGCCATTGTAGGCAATGTTTTTTTCTTAATGACATTGAATTTGCTTAACAACTGTGTATTATCAGAATTATATAAGCTTGCTAAATGTGATAAATGCGATCAAAATTGTACTATTTGTACTAAAATATATGACACTCAGGTGCCACACTGTTCACGCATTGATGTTTTTTAAAAATAAAAAACTTGGGGGGAAAAGACTGAATTAATAGATATAGGAGTTTTTACAGAAAATAGTTGGCAATTCTTGTTGAGAAAGTTGTAAAATTGGATCAGTCATGTAATGACCCACTTAACCATCGGTGTGATTTACGACTATAATTCCATGCTCAGAATTCCAGGCAGTTCTAAGTCAATCATTACCTGTATTATTATCCAGGCTAATAAATATAATGGTATTAATAACACTCAAAATACTGTAACAAGAATTGCAAAGCCAGAATTATGGTTCTGCTGTGAAGTGACCAACAGATTCAAGATCAAAGTTAGTGGAAGAGAGAGTCACCAGAGATCATGCCTTGTTGTATTAATTTTACTATTAAAGGTTTGTTTCACATAATATGCTGAATCAAAACTAAACAAACCACATTATGGTTTGATGCATAAAGATGGCATTCCCAACTTTAGAGAAAAATCAGGAGGAATCTTGATAACGTTTCAAACTAGCAAATTTTATTGAAAAGCACAAGTTTTCACAAACTATAGCTCATACTTTATAATAAAATATGTTAGGCTGAAAAGGTGCTACCAGACTCCACCATCTTTAGAGAATGAGTTCATTGACCTATGTAATCTTTTGATTACATCCAGCTATTATAAACATGGGGCAACCAGGCTGCAAACAGTACAAAAGCCATAAGATTATTAAAAATCCAGTGATCTCTTACCTGATTACAAATAATGTTCATTCAAAAATGAAAGTGGAATTACAAATTTAGGTAAAAAGTTTGCATGCTAAATTATTACTTTTAGTTCCTACATTGTAAGAGGAAGTTCAGTATAAAGTTTTACATACTTTTATGGAAAAAATATGCTTCATTTGATTACTGAGGCCTCAAAGATAAGACTGCTGATGAAAAGCAGAGGGTTTTTACCTATCTCTTTGAAATACAAAACTTTTTCATGGGTCTGTTAGTTTCAGCGCATGTTAGATGCCTAGAAGAAAAGAATGTGCTTGTTGGACAATCCAATTCTTACATATTGTCTTCTTGTCCTTTTCATCCTATTGGTTGTACAGGTAGTCCACAACTGACAATCATAATTGAGCCCAAAATTTCCATTATTAAGCAAGGCAGTTGTAAAGTGAATTTTGCCCCATTTTATGACCTTTTTTTGCCATAGTTGTTAAGGAAATCACAGCAGTTGTTAAGAGAATCATGGAGCTCACTAAATGAATCTGGCCTTTCCTATTGACTTTGCTTGTTGGAAGCTGCTGGGAAGGTTTAGTTTAGTTTAGTTTACTTTATTTGATTTGTATACCGCCCTACTCCCGAAGGACTCAGGGCGGTGAACAGCCAAACAATAAAATACATAGATACAAAAAATTTAAAAACCAGATAAAATCAAATTAAATCATTTTGGCCCAGACAGATTAAAACACCCCAATAATTTAAAAACAGATTAAAATTTGCATATTTAAAAAAGGGAAGAGATTAGGCCAAGCCCGCCTGATGGAATAAAAAGGTCTTCACAGCGCGGCGGAAGGTGCGCAGATCCGGGATCCTCCGTATCTCTGGGGGGAGCTCATTCCAGATGGTAGGTGCCCCCACAGAGAAGGCTCTCCCCCTAGGGGCCGCCAGTCGACACTGTTTGGCTGACGGCACCCGGAGGAGTCCCTCTCTATGAGAGCATACTGGCCGGTGGGAGGCTATTGGTGGTAGTAGGCGATCCCGTAGATAACCAGGTCCTAAGCCATGGAGCGCTTTAAAGGTGGAAACCAAAACCTTGAAGCGCACCGGAAGACCACCGGGAGCCAGTGCAGCTCGCGCAGGAGAGGTGTTACATGGGAGCGCCATGTCGCTCCCATTACCACCCGCACGGCCGCACTCTGCGCCAGCTGGAGCCTCCGGGTGCTCCTCAAGGGGAGCCCCATGTAGAGAGCATTGCAATAGTCCAGGCGGGAGGTGACGAGGACATGAGTGACCATGCATAACGAGTCCCGATCCAGAAAGGGATGCAACTGGAGAATCAGGCGAACCTGATGAAAAATCCTCCCGGTCACGGCCGTCAAGTGCTCTTCTAAAGACAGCCGTGAATCCAGGAGGACGCCCAAGTTGCGAGCCCTCTCCGTGGGGGCCAATGATTCGCCCCCAATAGTCAGTGATGGCGTCAACTGACTATATCGGGATATCGGAAACCACAGCCACTCGGTCTTGGATGGGTTGAGCCTGAGCCTGTTCCTCCCCATCCAGATCCGTACAGTCTCCAGGCACCGGGACATCACTTCAAGGGCATCGTTGGGGTGATCCGGGGTGGAGATGTACAGCTGGGTGTCGTCAGCGTACTGATGGTACTCCACCCTGAAACCATGGATGATCTCGCCCAGCGGCTTCACATAAATGTTGAACAGGAGAGGCGAGAGGACCGACCCCTGTGGCACCCCACATATGAGGGGCCTTGGGGTCGTCCTCTGTCCCCCTGTCAACACAGACTGCGAGAAAGGAGGAGAACCACCGCAACACAGTGCCTCCCACCCCTAACTCTTCTAACCGATGCAGCATGATACCATGGTCGATGGTATCAAAAGCCGCTGAGAGATCTAACAGGACCAGGACAGAGGAGCACCCCCTGTCCCGAGCCCTCCAGAGATCATCAACCAACGCGACCAATGCCGTTTCCGTGCTGTACCCGGGCCTGAAGCCCGACTGGAACGGATCCAGATACGTCATTTCATCCAGGTGCTGGGGGAGCTGTTGCGCAACCACACTCTCAACAACCTTCGCCACAAAACGAAGGTTGGAGACCGGACGATAATTTACCAACATTGCCGGGTCCAGGGAAGGCTTCTTGAGGAGAGGCCTCACCACCGCCTCTTTCAAGGCGGCAGGAAAGACACCCTCACCCAAGGAAGCATTTATAATCCCCTGGAACCAGCCTTGTGTCACCTCCCGAGAAGCCAGCACTAACCAGGAGGGACACGGGTCCAATAAACAAGTGGTCGCGTTTAGTCTACTCAGAATCCTGTCCACGTCTTCAGGGGTCACAGGATCAAACTCATCCCAGATAACATTCTCAAGACCTGCCCCAGTCCCTTCCCCTGAGACTACCCAGTCGGAGTCCAGATCTTCCCGAATCTGAGTGATTTTGTCATACAGATATTGAACAAAATCCTCGGCTACCCTCCAAGGGGTCCTCCCGCGCTTCCTGGTGGAGCAGGGAGCGGGTCACCCTAAACAGGGCGGCCAGCCGATTATCTGATGATGCAATAAGAGCAGCAAAATAGCTACATTTCGCTGCTTTTATCGCCACTAGGTAATTCCTAATATGAGATCTTACCAGTGTCCGGTCAGATTCAGAAAGACTGGCCCTCACTACTCTCTAGGTGTCTTTTCCGGCACTTCAACTCCCTCAGCTCCTCAGTGAACCAAGGAGCTAAATGAGATCGGCGCTGGGTCAGAGGCCACAAAGGCACGACCCGGTCCAGAGCTCCAGCGGCCGCCCTATCCCAGGCGGCCCCTAGGTCTCCAGTCGAGGGGAATGGCCCAAGCTCCATCTGGAACCTGGCAGGTTCCATCAGGCGCCTGGGGCGGAACCATCTTACCAGCTCCGCCTCCCTGCGGTGGGGTGTAGCGGTTCGAAGGTCGAGACGAGGGAGAGAGTGATCAGACCATGACAAGGTCTCGGTGACTATATCCCCTATCTCGAGATCACTCAACCACTGTCCAGAGACAAAAACCAGATCCAGCGTGATTCCCCCTGTGTGGGTAGGGCCATGAATTAACTGGGTCAGGTCCATGGCTGTCATGGAAGCCATGAACTCCTGAGCCACCTCCGACGCCTCACCCACGGAAGGTAATGGTGATCACATGACTCTGGGACATGCAACTGTCATAAATACATGCTGGTTGCCAAGTGACCAAATTTAGATCACATGACTAGAGATGCTGCAACAGTCGTAAGTGCGAAAACTGGTTATGTCACTTTTTTCAGTGCCATTGTAACTTTGAATGGTCACTAAACAAAGGGTTGTAAGTCCAGGACTACCTGTAGTGAAAGATAGCATAGGGATTCTTTTTGCTAAGAGGTTTTACTTTATTTCTTTGACTTTATTTTGGATGTATTGTAAAGGATGTTTCAGTTCCTGCTTTTTTCTTTCTATCTCCTGTGAAATTTGAATAACTATACTCAGCTCTATGTGGTCTAGCAAACTACCGGCATATGGGTCTTCCTTTGTAGAATACAGCTAGGTGAGGTATTTAGCCTTTCTACCTAAATGCAATGTCCTAAAACACTTTTTCTGTTTTTTAAAACAGCCTCATGTGAATTGACCTATCATTAATGTCTTGCAGCACAAATTAACTATTTTGGGAAATTGTCGTTTTAAAAACAATACACTAGCTAAAAAATAGCTTCTCCATAAAGTGCTCCATGAAAATAACTTTTTGTTATTATATACCGGTATATGGGCCAAAGGGGGGGTTCCCCTCGTAGAGATGTGCTCGCCAGATTTCCGCGCATTTCATCAACCAAGGGCCCAGGGTAGGGGTGGGGGAGTGGCGGTCGTTATAAAGGAAAGTCTTGATCCAAGGGAGGCCACTGTACCTCAGATAGCCGGATGTGAGTCTCTCCTGGTGAAGTGGAGCCATGGGATGCAGGTGGGCCTGCTGATCACATACCTGGCTCCCTGCCATGTGACAGCGGCCCTGCCCGAGCTCCTCAACATTATTGCCAGGGTGGCAGTTGATACCCCCAGGCTTTTGGTCATGGGGGATTTCAACCTGCCGTCTGCCGGTGAGGCGTCTGGGTTGGCTCGGGAGTTTATGGCTTCCATGACAGCCATGGACCTGACACAACTAATTCTTGGCCCTACTCACGCGGGAAGACACACTCTGGACTTTGTTTTTGTCTCTGGTCAGTGGTTGAATGGCCTGGATGTTGGGGATATAGTTATCGAACCCCTGTCATGGTCAGACCATTCTCTCCTGAGGCTAGACTTTCTGACCGCCGAACCCCACTGCAGGGAGGCGGAACCGATGAGGTGGTTCCGCCCCAGGCGCCTGATGGATCCTGATAGGTTCCAGAGGGAGCTTGGGCCAGTGCCCATAACTCTGGCTCACAACTCGGCTGAAAACCTGGTGGCCGCCTGGGATAGGACGGCTGCCGGTGCTCTGGACCGAGTCGTGACTTTGCGGCTCTGACCCGGCGCCGAACCTGCCCGGCTCCTTGGTTCTCGGAGGAGCTGAGGGAGATGAAGCACCGGAAAAGATGCCTAGAGAGTGGTTGGAGGGCTAGTCAATCTGAATCCGACCGAACACTAGTTAGGTCTCATGTTAGGACCTATTTAGTGGCAATAAAAGCAGCAAAGTGCAATTACTTTTCCGCTCTTATTGCATCGGCAGATAATCGCCCAGCCGCCTTGTGTAGAGTGACCCGCTCCCTCCTACATCAGGGAGCGCGGGAGGACCCCTTGCAAGGGCAGGCTGAGGATTTTGCACAGCATCTGCACGATAAAATCGCTCAAATTCAGGAAGGCTTGGACTCTGATTGGGTAGATTCTGGCGAGGTGACTGAGGCCGGCCTTGAGAATGTTATCTGGGATGAGTCTGATCCTGCGACTTCTGACGATGTGGACAGGATTCTGGGGAGGTTAAACAGAACCACGTGTTTATTGGACCCGTGTCCTTCCTGGCTGGTACTAGCCACCCGAGAGGTGACGCGAGGCTGGCTCCAGAGGATTATAAATGCTTCTCTGAGTGAGGGTTTCTTGCCTGCCGCCTTGAAAGAGGCGGTGGTGAGGCTCCTCCTTAAGAAGCCTTCTCTGGACCCGGCTGTTTTGGCAAATTACCATCCGGTCTCCAACCTTCGCTTCACTGCGAAGGTTGTTGAGAGTGTGGTTGCGCGACAGCTCGCGCAGTACCTGGATGAAACCGTTTATCTAGATCCATGCCAGTCCGGCTTCAGACCTGGGTACAGCACGGAGACGGCATTGGTCGCATTGGTGGATGATCTCTGGAAGGCTCGGGACAGGGGGTGCTCCTCTGTCCTGGTCCTGTTAGATCTCTCAGCGGCTTTTGATACCATTGACCATGGTATCATGCTGCATCGGCTGGAGGGCTTGGGGGTGGGAGGCACCGTCCTGCGGTGGTTCTCCTCCTATCTCTCCGACCGGTCGCAGTCTGTGTTGGCAGGGGGCCAGAGGTCGACCTCGAGGTGCCTCGTTTGCGGGGTGCTGCAAGGGTCGGTCCTCTCACCGCTCCTGTTCAACATTTATGTGAAGCCGCTGGGTGAGATCATCCATGGTTTTGGGGTGCGTTGCCAACTGTACGCTGATGATATTCAGTTGTACATCTCCACCCCTGACCACCCCAATGATGCCCTCGAAATGATGTCCCAGTGTCTTGAAGCTGTGCGGGTCTGGATGGGGAGGAACAGGCTTCGACTCAACCCCTCCAAGACCGAGTGGCTGTGGATGCCGGCGTCCCGGTATAGCCAGCTGGTGCCATTGCTGGCTATTGGGGGTGAGTTACTGACCCCCACAGAGGGGGCTCGCAACTTGGGTGTCCTCCTGGACTCACGGCTGTCTTTGGAAGGGCATATGACGGCCGTGGCCAGGGGGGCCTTCTATCAGGTCCGCCTGATACGCCAGTTGCGCCCCTTTCTGGATCAGGACTCCTTATGCACAGTCACCCATGCCCTTGTCACGTCTCGCCTGGACTACTGTAACGCTCTCTACATGGGGCTCCTCTTGAGGTGCACCCAGAGGCTCCAACTGGTCCAGAATGCAGCTGCGCGGGTGATTATGGGAGCAACAGGGCGCTCCCACGTAACACCTCTCCTGCGCAAGCTGCACTGGCTCCCAGTGGTCTTCCGGGTGCGCTTCAAGGTGTTGGTTCTCACCTTTAAAGTGCTCCATGGCATAGGGCCAGGATACTTGCGAGACCGCCTGCTGCTACCGATAACCTCCCACCGACCAATACGCTCGCACAGAGAGTGCCTCCTCAGGGTGCCGTCGGCCAAGCAATGTCGGGTGGCGGCCCCCAGGGGGAGAGCCTTCTCTGTGGGGGCACCCGCCCTGTGGAATGAGCTACCTCCTGAAATACGACTGATCCTGGACCTCCGCACTTTCCGCAAGGCCCTGAAGACTTATTTATTCCAACAAGCCGGCCTAGTTTAAATGGTTTTAATGGGGATTTTTAATCTTTTAATTTTATTGGTTTTTTTGGGTTTTAAATTGGGAATTTTTTGATTTTGTAGATTTGGGATTTTAAATTGGTAATGCCGCTGATTTAATCTATTTTAGTTTTTTCTTAACTTTTGTACTATATGTGTTTTAATTTCTGGCTGTCCACCGCCCTGAGTCCCCCTGGGGAGAAGGGCAGTATATAAGTTTAATAAATAAATAAATAAATAAATAAATAAATAAATAAATAAATAAATAAATAAATAAATAAATAAACAAATACATACATACATACATACATACATACATACATACATACAACTATTTGCCATTTGTACTTGTACAGAATTCAGATGATTTGAGTACTGTAAAGCTAAATCCACATCTCAAAGAAGCTTAACAATTATTAATATTACCTGCCCAATCCAAGAATTCAGCACACTCTGTTTGCTTATATCGATTTGCAATTTCTCTAGCATTTTCACCCCGGAATGTAGTTGCATAAATATCAGCTTCCAACTCTACCAGACTTTTCAGTGTGTTTAGCTGACCCCAGGCTGCAGCACAATGAAGAAGTGTATAACCTGAGAGAACAAACCAAATCAATGTACATAACTCTGCGCATAATATTTGTATGCAATACTTTTTACATAATGTATTCCTTTATGTACAAGAAAACTCAACTGCCCGTTAGCAAACCATCAGATTAATGCTGGATGGTCAATCAAACAATTTTCAGAATGCCATTCTGACTCAATGCTTAAATACATGTAGAACATACATGCAAAGCGCAGAAAAGGAATAAGAAATAATAAGCTAAATGAGGTACAAAGGTACCTTCATATGTATAGTGTCAAACAAACATATATTGAGTATCTTCACAAACATTCCTTTTACATTCCTTTTACTATTAACACATAAACAAAAAAGCTGCCTTCATACATCTTACTCTCTGTTCCCTGTTAAACCATTTCATAAGCATTTCTTTTATTCTCATGCATGCTTAACTGTCATATTACTGAATTTTACAATGAACCTTCAACTCAGTATTCCTGTAAAATATTCTCTAATCAAGATTTTACCTAATATGTATCTCAACAAGAATTGCCAACTATTTTCTGTAAAAACTCCTATATCTATTAATTCAGACTTTCCCCCCCAAGTTTTTTATTTAAAAAAAACATATCAATGCGTGAACAGTGTGGCACCTGAGTGTCATATATTTTGGTACAACTAGAACAATTTTGATCGCATTTATCACATTTAGCAAGCTTATATAATTCTGATAATAATACACATTTTTATGTTAAATTATAGTCTTTCATTATTTAATTATTCAAAATTTCAATATATTATTTTTATGCCAATCACCATATTCTGAATGTCATACCTTTTAATACAAATAAAGCAGTGGTGGGATTCAATTTTTTTTTACTACCGGTTCTGTGGGCGTGGCATGGCTTGGTGGGCATGGCAGGGGAAGGATACTGTAAAATCTCCATTCCCTCCCCACTCCAGCAGAAGGTTACTGCAAAATCCCCATTTCCTCCCGATCAGCTTGGACTTGGGAGGCAGAGAATAGATGGGGGCGGGGCCAGTCAGAGATGATATTTACCAGTTCTCCAAACTACTCAAAATTTCCGCTACTGGTTCTCCAGAACTGGTCAGAACCTGCTGAATACCACCTCTGAAATAAAGTATTGATCATATTTATTACATTTAGCAAGCTTATATGATTCTAATAATAGTACACATATTTAAGTTACATTATAGTCTTCCATTATTTAGTTATTCAAATTATAATCCTTCATTATTTAGTTATTCAATATTGCAATTTTACTTTTATGCCAATCACCATATCCTCCATGTCCTACATTTTAATGCTGATAACATATTAGCAGATAAAATAGTATTAATCATATTTGTTTAATAGTTAACACTCTTATATAATTCTAATAATAATACACATATTTATGTTATAGTCTTTCATTTCAATGTATTATTTTTATGCCACTCAATTCTAATAATAAAACTAATACTAATAAATAATAACAAAGAATGTTCTTTCTGTGCCAACTCAGAAAGCTCAAACTGCCCAAAGAACTGCTGATCCAGTTCTACAGAGGAATTATTGAGTCTGTCATCTGTACCTCCATAACTGTCTGGTTTGGCTCTGCAGCCAAACAAGACAAACACAGACTTCAACAGATAATTAGAACTGCAGAAAAAACAATTGCTACCAACCTGCCTTCCACTGAGGATCTGTATACTGCACGAGTCAAAAAGAGGGCTGTGAAAATATCTACAGACCCCTCACATCCTGGACATAAATTGTTTCAACTTCTACCCTCAAAAAGACACTATAGAGCACTGCACACCAGAACACAAGGACAGTTTTTCCCCGAATGCCATCACTTTGCTTAACAACTAATTCCCACAACACTGTCAAATAATTTACTAAAACTGTATTACTATTCTTCTTCTCTTCCTTACTAGTATCTATCTCTTCCCACTTATTACTATAACCATGTTGCTTGTATCTTTCAATTTATATTGTTTTTATTTGTTTCCTAGTATGATTTGATAGCTTATTAGTAACCTTGACTGACTAAGTGTTGTATCTTTTTATTCTTGATGAATGTATTTTATTCTCCTTATGTACACTGAAAGCATGTAGGCCAAAGAAATTCCTTGTGTGTCCAATCACACTTGGCCAATAAAGAATTCTATTCTATTCTATTCTATTCTATTCTATTCTATTCTATTCTATTCTATTCTAAGCATTTATGTTAAATTATAATCTTCCATTATTTGCTTATTCAATATTTCAATATGTTATTTTCATGTCACTCACCATATTCTACGTGTCATACATTTTAATACAAATAAAATATTATAATCATATTTGTTACATTTGGCAAGCATGCACATATTCATGTTGGATTATAATCTTTCATTATTTGGTTATTCAATAGTTCAATATATTATTTTTATGCCAGTTACCATATTATTTTAACATACTTGATAAAACCATCATTCAAATTCTGATTTCCCCTCTTATTATTACTTCTCCTTATTATATAAAAATGCCTATTTTATTAATCCCCTTCCCTCTAGTTTCCCTCCCTATTCTAACTTTTGGTTATGCCACTACTATATTTAAACATATTCCTTTTCTAGCCATCATCTCTTATCCGCTTCAAAGCTTTAATTGTTCTTTTCTTAGCTTGCCTCCCATATTCCTCTCTTGGATCTTTATTTATATCTACTTCCACAACTTGACTACTCATTTTAAACATTTCTCCCTTCTCTGCCCTTTTCCATAGTCTCGCTTTCAAAATATCTACTCTTGCCCCTCTCTCTCTTCCAGAAAAATCTTCTTGGTTCTCCGATTCCTTTTTTAATTCCCTTAGAAAACTCTTCCCTTGGCTTATTTCATCAATCCTTATTATTTTTGTTATTACCTCCTTTGTATCATCTTGTTTCATTTGTTTTGTCTGTTCCATTTTTTCATCTACTCTTTCATTTGGCTCCTCCTCTTCCTGAACATCTTGATCACTCATTGTCCTTTGTATTATATACTGCTCAAAAAATAAAGGGAACACAAGCAGAAGACATCCGAGATCTGAATGAATGAAATAGCCTTATTAAATACTTTGTTCTTTACATACAGTAGTTTATACACTGCTCAAACAACTAAAGGGAACACAAAACTACTGTATGTAACGAACAAAGTATTTAATAAGGCTATTTCATTCATTCAGATCTCGGATGTCTTCTGCTTGTGTTCCCTTTATTTTTTGAGCAGTGTATTTCCCAGAGTTTCATCTATGCTCTCGATTCTGTTCATCAGTATCTCCCTTGTACTTTGAATAAACGAGTCATCTCTTCCCAAATTCCACTCATTTCTTCTTGATGAAGCATCTTGTTAAATTTTATTGTGTTCCTCTTTTGTCCAATAATCCAAAAACCATATATTCAAACCTAAAGTTACTTCTCAAAAAGTTCAATATTAATGAATCTTTATATCCCAAAGCTGATCAACCTGTTCCTCTGGATAGTCCCATAGGTTTTCCAGAACCTCCTTAAATCCCTCTATAGATTCCGTTTTGTGTTGTAATCTTCAGGGGTCATTTTAATGATAGTGTCTTTCTTATTCTCACATTTAAGTCTCCAGTAATCAAGTATTTCCAAGATTTTGGGAATGTGTTATATACTTCCTTTCGTCAGCAGGTGGCACTCTTAAATTAGATTTCAATGTTAATCAATTTTTTCCAGTTTTCCATAATGTGAAAAATAATGTTAATTTTTTAAATAGCTAATTCCAGCATTTCAAAATGCCTATCCAAAACAATGCCAGTCCAATTTTCTGTATTTTTAACAATTTTTTCCCCTTTTTCCTTTTAATTCTTTTTCCTTCAGTTTTGAAATTTTCCTCAGTGTTAAGTCGCTGCTTCTTTTAAAAATAGTTATGAGCCTCTCTTTTCCTGGATATTCTTTTGGGGTTAAAATTTGAATAAAAAGATTCTTCTCACCCAGTTCCAGAAACTGTTCACCAACTCCGCTCCAGCACAATTCTTAGATATTCCTTGGCTGCCCCAGCTTCTCTTCTCCTTGCCGTGGCATAGAGGGAAAAAAGCTCTGGGGTTCAGCAGGAGAGTTGTGATCTCTTCTGCGACCTCTCACAGAGCCCCTCCTTAGCTTTGCTGCCCCTTCAAGGCGGCTTTGGCTCCTTTCGGAGCCCACAAACAGGGAGAAGCCAGCACAGGAACAGAGAACTCCGTTTCTTGTGACTGGTAGTGCTGCTACCTCAGCTGGAAGTCTCTAATTCAGTCTTGAGAATCAAAAGATTAATACATTACCTCTTTAAGCTAATGTTTCTCAACCTTGATATCGTCCATCAAGCTGGCTGAGGAATTCTGGGAATTGAAATTCAGGCATATTAAAGTTGCCAAGATGGAGAAACATTGCTTTAAGCAATGTAAAAAAAAATTTTACACAGTAATTTTTTTTAGAATAGTACATATACTTTAATAAAGTGAAGAAACAAGTATTTAAGACCAAAAAATTGGATTTAAAAAGCTGCTCAGTGGAAACATTATAGGGGAGCTAATGACATTAATGGACTGCAGAGGTAAAGAAGCCAAGCAAATGCTGGCTGGGAATTCTGGAACTTTCTATCTAGGAGGATCATGAAGCTATAGAAACAGTATACTCAGACTTCCAGTGAAGATGGTTGACTGACCAGTCTGGAATGCTCTTTCTGGACTAAAGCTTTTTCAATTTACAAACAAGGGAACTGAGTTGTAAACAAGTTCCCTAAGTTTATATGATTCTTCTGAGTTAGAGAAAATTCAAGAATCACCCCATACATCCTCCATACAGCAGCAGTTTGAAAAGAAACTGGAGCAGCACACCAAGGTAGCCAAGTGAGAAAACCATAAGCTAAAAGATGTGTCAAAATCACTTCGTTGATGAAAAAACAGTTGCTTTGGTATTTGGTTTTAAACAGACAAGGAGTCATGCCTTTCATTTCTTAAATTATTATTAAGATGATCTTTATTATTATTAAAATAAAAGAGAATCTTTTCAGAAACAGTCTGTTACTCCTTTTTGAAGATCTAGCCATTTTGGGGGACATCATTATTGTTGAATGACAAGGAGGAGGGTTGCCAGAGATGAGCTAAAATAAGGAAGTACTTTTTTTTTGGAGAAACATAAGGCTTTAAAAATGTGTGGTCTTATTTCATCATTTTCATGAATTTTCCACCTTTATTTGACATTGGGAGTTATAATTTGCATTTTTGGATTGCTTGTTGGAGAGGCTGAAATCTTCCAATCTTAATTAGTTGGCCGAGAGATACCAGTTGATCAACAAAAAGCTTATTTTTTAAAAAATATTCTTTGATCACAAAAGGAAGGTAAAGAACAGAATATGATGAAGCAACATAGGAGGCAATTATGCCAGACAGAGACTACAAGCCGTCTCGCTCATATCCCCTCCACAAAAGCACAGGTGAAATCCAGCTGGTTCTCACCGGTTTGCCCGAACCATTAGAAAATTGCTTAGGCAATTCGGAGAACCTGTTAAAAATAAAGTGCAAGAGAGGTTATTTCTCTCTCTCTCTCCCTTCAGTTAATAGCTCCAGTTGCAGCTGGAATGCAGCCGATACTGTCTGAATCAAGTCAATAAACAACAGAACAACAGAAACTGACAAGATTAGGGCAGGGAAACCCATCTATCACCCCTCTAGGGATGGGATTAACCTCTTCCCTTCAGGAAGAAGGACAAGATTACAAACATTTTCATTATAAATGTTATAAAGAGTATTAAGTAACACCTCTGTGATCAGCTGATGCTCCCTGGAGTTTCCCAAGACCTTTTATACCTGCCGCAGTGTTGGCTACTTCTTGTTTCTTCCTGGGGAAAAAGATACAGGAGGGGACAATGATGCAGCTTGATCATACAGGCCGTGAATTTAATGCATGTGTGGTCCAGCCAGCTGTATTGCTTCTGCTGTGAAGCAATTTAGAACATAGAGAACATAGTATAATAGAGTCGGAAGGGTTAATGGCTTTTGGCAGCACACCCAGGCTTTCAATTAGCCAAAGCAGCTGCTCTTAGTTTCCCTCTCAGCTGCTGCGTTTGCTTTGGGTTGACTATTTAAAAAAGGGGAATGGCTGTTTTAAGTTTTCTGCAGTTTTAGTGGTTCCTGGCACTGTCCTTTTGGGGTGTACTTCCCTCACTCTTTTTAAAAGCCTCTAGTGATGGAGCACTCACAACTTCTGAAGGCAAGCTATTCCATTGGTTAATTGGTCTCACCCTTAGGAAATTTCTCCTTAGTCCTAGGTTGCTTCTTTCTTTGATTAGTTCCCATCCATTGTTTCTTGTTGTGCCTTTTGGTGCTTTGGAAAATAGACTCCCTCATTTTTGTAGGAACCCCTCAAATTTCCTGAAAGAACAATTAATCAGTGGAACAACTTGCCTCCAGAAGTTGTAAATGCTCCAACACTGGAAGTTTTTAAGAAGAGACTGGATAATCATTTGTCTTAAGTGGTGTAGGGTTTCCTGCCTAAGCAGGGGGTTGGACTACAAGACCTCCAAGGTCCTTTCCAACTCTGTTATTCTATTCTATTCTAAATATTGGTACAGTGCTATTTTATTGTGAGTTAGACTAAGGAGAAATTTCCTAAGGGTGAGACCAATCAAGTTGGCCACGCCCACTCAGTCACATGACCCATTTCCCATAGAAAATACTGGGAGCCACAAAACCTGGGTACATGTGGTGGTGGTGGGGTCATGTGACTGGGTGGGAGTGACATTGAGTTGGCCATGCCCAGCCACTCACATGACAACCCAGCCACACCCACAGAACCGGTAGTAAAAAAAAATTAATTTCACCATTGCACAAAAGTACATAAAATTGTTTTTAGTTATGAATATGAATATATCTAATAATATAACTAAATATTTATAACTAAATAGAAATATAAGATATTTAAAGAAATATTTATAGTCTTAAATGAATAAAAAGGATTTTCTCTTTAAAGTTAAAGACTTTGAAGGATTTATAAATATTTAAAGAATATTTTAGATACACACACACACACACTTTCCACAAGAGAGGGAAAAAGAAAAAAAATGGATTTGGTTAAGATGGCAAGATAAAGTCTTTCTAACAAGGATTTTATTTAGTCTTGTTTCTATCGGGATATGGCTTCTGGTTTTAAGGCTTGAAATAGAAAAAAAAATGAAATCTAGAAATTATTTGAAGATTTAATAAATGTGTAGTTATAGAACTGGCTTGTATAGTTAAAATGTTGATGTCATAATTGTATTAGTATTTTACTGTGTTGGAAAAAATCAAAAGTCAACTACTTCTTTACTCTTTTCCATCCTGCACTCCCCCTCTTTAATCTTTATTTCCATTGTATTTTATGCTATAATAAACCTTAATAAAACTTTATATATACAAAAAAAAGAGAATTGGTAGATTCACAGCCAAGGAAAGAATAAGAGAGTTAGCATTTTCCAAACCAGGACTTAAAGGAGACTATATGCAAATTCTGTGGTGAAGGTGTGAGAATCTATGTGGGGGGAAAAAGGTACAACACAAGTGAAAATTGTGGTTAGGCTGGAATTAGATAAAAATAGAGAACGAAAGAGAGCCAATCTGGTTTAATGGTTAAAGTATAAGGTTAGAAACTGGGAAACTGTAAGTTCTAGTCCCACTTTAGGCACAAAGCCAGTTGGTTGAATTGTGCTATAGGTAGTCCTTGACTTACAACCATAATTAGAACTAGAATGTACAAAATCATAAATATGTGCCAGCTGTCAAGGACCTGAATTTTGAACACATGACCATGGGGACATGGGGATAGTCATAAGTCACTTTTGTCAGCACCATCCTAATTTTGAAGAGTTACCAAGAATTATGTGTAGTCAGTTTCTCTCAGTCCCAGGAAGAAGGCAATAGCAAAACAATTTCTAAAAAAAAGTTGCCAACAAAACTGCAGGGACTGCACCAGGCAGTCCCCTAGAATTAGACATGATTGAATGAAAGAAAAAAAAAAAGAGGAAAGAAAAATGAGTTGAAGGACTAATAAAAGCTTACTTCAGAAAGCTCTAACTTCTGTTAGTTGAAAAGATAACTATGAGCACCAATCAATTATAGCATTCTTGTGTCAGTTTTCAAATTCAAAATATAAACTGGCATAATTCTTAAAGGGACCTTTTTCTAGACTCTTAAGTGATGCTTAATTCAAAATATCTAGACCATTATGTACCTCTGACTGTCTTATCCTTCAGGTCAACTCCATATTTTGCCAGGGATTGGATAACGTCATTCTGACCAACCATACAAGTTGTAAATAGTAGGTTTCTCCCTAGAATATCCTTTTCCATTAAAAACTTATTGGCTTTTTCATGATCAGGATCCTCGGAGTCCTCAAAAATCTGTTGTATTTCTTCCATATCACCCCTTAAAGCAGCCCTCAGGAGAGGATTAAAATGTTCTGGTTCCTCTTGAGGTCCCAAATCCTCATGCTCATTTGTTGTGGAAGCCGCTGTTTCTTCAAAGGGTTCCATTTTCACAAGATTAGCTTAATTTTAAAAAATAAAATATTTTAAAGAACAGATTGGGATATGGTTTGTGCAGATTCAAAGCATCATCATTTCTATCTACAAAACTTCATCTTTTTATCCAAAACGTATTCTTTTTCCAGAAAAAGAAAAATTCGTTAGATCACGATACTCTTCAACAGATTATTTCTATTTTTTCTAGTCAACATTGTTTTCAACCGTGTTTTTGAAATTACAGAGTGCAGAATCATTATATTATACAGTACACTAATCAGTAAAAAAAACTTGATCAAAACGGTGGCATGAATGGGCATGACCTTTACCAGCAGGGGTTCAAGTTTTATAAAAAGGGGATTTTGATTTGGGTTATATTCTGTGGAAGTCCGGGGGGAGGGGTGGGTTAGGGGGGGATTAGGGAGGTTAGGGAGGGTTGAGGGGGGGAAATGGGGAGAAAATGTAATTGTAAAACTTTTCCAATTAAAAAAAAAAACGGTGGCATGAATGGGCATGACCTTTACCAGCATTAGAATCCTGACCCCACTCAAAAGCAACCTCGCTGTGGGTCCCGAGTCCCCCGATATTTCCTGGCTGCTGGGAAGAAAAAAAAAAACCAGTAACCCCGTCGCCATAGAAACCCCTCAGCGTGGTTGAGGCCGGAACGCTTGAAATGACACTTGAAGTTCTTGCACGGAAAACTAAGGCCGAAGGATTACTTCCGGCGGGTGAAATCTGGTGGGGTGGAGTGCTGCCTACTGGCAGTTTCCGGCACCAGTGGGAACTGTGGGAATGATTGCGGCTGTGGCAGTCGGGAAGGTCCTGCGTTCCTCCCACCCCCTACAAGATACTGTGCAGAGCCCATGCCGATAGATGGCATTTCCTTGCAACGGCTTCTGGGCTCGCCGCCGCTGAAATTCAGAATAAGCTCCATTATCTTCCACCCGGGAGGTCAGTTTCCAGGGTTGGCAAAGCTTGTGGTCGCGGACAGTTGGGTCAGGGGAGGCTGTAAAAGAATCCGTGGGGAGAAAAGGGCATGGAAAAGGTCTCTTTGGGGCGAGACCTTGGGCTGAAAGGCATGCTGAAGTGTAACACTAGAAACACCCAGCAAAAATAAATCAGATCCACCTAATCTGCAGTTTCCCCCCCCTCGCCCCCAATACGTACCGGGCAGCTGCCTTGTTTTCAAGGTACCTCAAGCAGGATCGGGAGATCTCCGGAATGAAGTGGTGTTTAAATTTCCTAAATAAATCATGTAGTTGATCATCTTCCGGGGAAACAGCATTGGTTACATACCACTTTGAAAAGGAAATCTCTGCTTAGTTCCTGTAACCTATTAGCTATCATCAGTAGAGCTCCATGTTTATGCCTTCAACCATGTGAAGATAATGGCCACACCCCATATCTTGTTAAAGGTCTTTTTGAGGGGATGGAAAAAGTAAAAGTGAATGAACTTCCAATGAAGTTTAGAGGGTTCATACAAGGAGGAATACTGGACAGGTGCCTAAATTGCTGGTGAGGGATTGTGGGGGAGGGAATGAATGTTATTGCATGATCAATATCTGGCAGAGAGACTGTCATCACAGATCTCTGGCAGAGACACTCACAGATCAAAAGCAGGCTTTGAGACTCATTCATTTTGAGTTGGTAAATACATCTACCTTCTTTATCAACTGTCCAGTCTGTTATGTTCATTGATTTAGATAGCCCTTGTATGTGCTTTACTCTCTGAAACTAAGGAGAATATTCAGTGTCATCTTTTGAAAGTGTTCTGTGGTATCTAAACTATTCTAGGTTAACAAAGATTTATTTCAATGCAGACAACAAGAACAATGATGGGGTTTTTAGAGGAACCATTTCACTTTCTTTGCATTTTATTTTTAGGCATCTGGATGTCATCAACCTTGCTGTTCTCAGTGGATAAAATGAGTTGAAAGCAAGGATTATTGATTATTAAGCTTCTATTGCACCTCTATTTTATCACAGGGTGAGTGACTAATCTTGCTTTTTTAATTTCAAATGTATTCATATAATGACAACTGAACAAATGTTTGTTTTGTATGCAGGAATAAGTATACATTTTTATTTTAGAAGACAGTGCTGAAGTCTGGCCAGTTGTTTATGCGCAGTCCAGTGTATGTTCATCAGATTTATCTTATATAAAATAAAGCTAGAATTAAACATAGATTTAGTATGGTTATAGTAGTGGCAGAATCAGTTTGGAAAAGGATATGAATAGGTAGAAATTGTTAATAATCCTTATCTTAGAATTTATTTTATGGCGCATAATCTGATCATTTCTTAAATACGTAACAAACTATTTTAGTTGCCTTTTTGTTAAATAGTTTTGTTTTTATTCTTTGTCCAGGATCAGCAATAATTTAAAGACTTCTCTTTGCAGTGCATGGACACAAAACCAATGCGCAGGTAATTAAAATACTTAAGTAAGTAGATTGAATTGTGACATGATCATACTAAATTATGATTTATAATCAATGTATAGAATCTAGATAAGGGTTGGACTAGATGACCTACAAGGTCCCTTCCAACTTTGTTAATCTGTATCTATCTATTGGACAACAGTACTTTAAAACTTTCCATTTGTCCTCTTTTATTATTATTATTATTATTTTCCTCTGAGAACAGTGGTCTACTACAGTTGCCACTGTATTTTGGAAAGACAGATTGATGCAGAAGTGAGTGATCTACAACCTCTCATGGCTTTTGAATCACAACTGTCAGTATCTCTCACAGTTGGTCATGCCTTTTGAGACTGCTGAAGCATTATTAAGTTGCCTATCCCCATTTAAATGCTTCAGTGCATCTCTATAAATTTAAATTTTGTGTCTGTGTTATTTTAAGAGTTGGCAGCATTTGGTCAATCTTGTTTGATTTTAGAACCTAATAAGTTAAGCCTGGTTAGTACTCGGAAAGGAGATCATCTGGGAATTCCTGGACCATAAACTAGACTGGGAACTAAAATGCTGGAATAATACAATGGTAAATTATTCTTATACTGGGAAATATCCATGAAGGTTTGTTTTAAGGGTTGGTCTTTACTAATTCCTACCTATCTATCTGCATCATAATAATATTAATTAGTTTAATTTACAGCTATTTACTTGCCTTTCATGTACAATAATAATTAGTCACCATCATTTAATTAGTAATCTGACCTAAGTAGTTACTGAGATTAAAACTTGCAACAGCTATCTAAAATAGGATAATGGATAAGATATAGAAAACATATTTAAATAAAGCTTTCCTGCTTTACCTTCTGGATGGCTGATTCAACAAGATTTACTTTGACTTCTGGTATCAGAAAAACCAAGTGTCAGGGTCACACATTGAACAAAGCTGCAATATATTTAGCTTTGGGATGCATGTAAACATTGCCACTGTATACTGTTCAATAAACCATGGATACATCTTGACTTTTATCCCCTTAGCCATATCTTTTTGTACTATGATATACATAGGACGTTCAGGAAAAAATTACTTCGCTTTTTACAGAAAATTTAGAGAGACCACTAAAACTGTGGCATCTTTAGTTTCTTTTTTTGACCATTTTACTTTGGATTTATATTTTTTCTTACTCTTTTTCTAAGTTTAGATGTCATAAATAGATTTTTTAAAATCAAATTCTACTTTTTCAAATTATAAACATACAAATCGGAAAACAAATATTTTAACTGAAATCTAAGCAGCGTCCCCAAATAGCAGTTTATCATCTGCTCAATTTAATGATGACAACTCAAGCACTTTCTGACATGTTATTAGATATAGTACATAATGTTGAACAAATTGTCTATATGTCTTGTAGATAAGGTATCAATGTATCTTATTTTCAAGTAATTCTACAAGTATTGAAAATAATGTGAAATAATTATAAAACAGTCCCCTGATTCTCTCCCATTGTGTTGGATTCTATGTTAAAAAAGGAAATTGAATAATTAAAATATACATCTCATCCCTAATTATAAATATATTTCAGGGAATTTGAATATCTTGAAAAAAACTAGCAGTTTTTAAAAAAGAATTCTTATAACCCAAATTGTTCATAGTTTCTGTTTGGCTTTTTAATGTTTTCACATAGCTTTTGCTATTTGGATTCTGCAAGAAAATCTGATATTACATCCATTTTATTTTGAATATTTTCTTAGAAATTTGTTCAGTCCAAATCTTATATTTCCTTATTAAAGTATTTCCAGTTATAATAGGTACACTTTCCCTTTTAATAAAGAGCTACATTACTGTTTTTTCCATTGTTGAATGACTTCTATCAAAAACCTGTCAAGATGAAGTTTCTTATGACGCTTTTATTTCCTTCCCTTTATAGTTTAATAAATGCTTGTCCACTTCATGTTTTTGGTGTAATGTTTTCCATCCAATGGTCTCACTGCTTTGTTACTTTATTAGGTGTACTAGTAATCGAGCAGCTGAAACCGGAATGGATGTAACAAGCCGTTGCACTCTTGGAGATCCCAACAAACTACCAGAAGGAGTGCCACAACCTGCTCGCATGCCTTACATCTCGGACAAGCACCCTCGCCAAACATTGGAGGTTATCAATTTGTTGCGTAAGCACCGGGAGCTGTGTGATGTGGTCCTGGTTGTGGGGGCCAAAAAGATCTATGCCCATCGAGTCATCTTATCAGCCTGCAGTCCCTACTTCCGAGCTATGTTCACAGGAGAACTTGCAGAGAGCCGGCAGACTGAGGTGGTGATCAGAGACATTGATGAAAGGGCCATGGAACTGCTTATTGACTTTGCATATACTTCCCAAATTACGGTAGAAGAGGGCAATGTTCAGACCTTACTGCCAGCTGCTTGCCTTCTCCAACTAGCTGAGATCCAAGAAGCCTGCTGTGAGTTTCTGAAAAGACAGTTGGATCCTTCCAACTGCCTTGGCATTCGAGCGTTTGCTGATACTCATTCTTGCCGTGAACTTCTTAGAATTGCTGATAAATTCACTCAGCATAACTTTCAAGAGGTGAGTAACCCTATAATTAAAATCTGGTCAATATAAGCAAGTAGCAACATGAACTGTACCAAAGTAGGTGAAGATTCATTGTTTTTGAACAGTCCTCAGCATTAAAACAAAACAAAACAAAACCAACTTCCGTTCAATTACAAGTTTCATCCAGCAAAAATATATATGAGCTAAAATCCTTATTCCACATACTGTTAGCAAGAGTTTTTCATGTAGAGATTCTATGGGTTCCTTTATTTTTCCTTATTTTCTTTATTTTTAGCTACTTAATCTGTAATACAATTATATTACTTTATTATGGGTGAATACTGAAATTTGCTTCATATATTTTAAAACATTCGGCTATATCTTATTTGTTGAATCTGATTAATGTTTGAACTTTTTTACTTTAATTGAAAGGAAATGTGATAATTGCTCAAAATGAGTATGACATAATAGGACTGGATGTCTTTGCATCACAATTTTTTTTTATCTAAATTGTACTGTATTCTGCATAAACCAAACCTTAAAACTACATGCATCTTGTAAGTCTAAATTTTTAAACATTCTCATATTATGATAAACCTGTTTTTCTTTTTGATATTCCTCACTATAAATGTCATAAATGTTTTGGAGCAGAACAAATGTATTTTGACTGAGAACAATTATAGATTTTTAGTTTGGGGGAGTTC